TCTCCCCCTCCCTTATTCCTCACAGCAACACCCCCTGCTCCCTCTTTTCCGACCGTCTGCACCAAGACAGAATCCTGTCTTCTCTTTTTGGAAATCAGCCAGTATCCTGCTTCACTCTGTCTTTTACAAGCAGGAACACAAACCGGGATTACAATTCTGTTCCGAGTATGATCCAGACGCACTACAACACAGTGCTGACACATTCTACTTATGTTTTCAAGGGCATGTCACCTTACAGTTACATTTCTTGGTTTGTAACCACTCTGTCAATGAGAAAGACAGGCTTTAATTCTTTAGTAAACACAAAACTGGGCCAGGCTAACCTTGTATGTCCATACATTCCTTAGATCCACAATGTTTTAGAGGCCCATATTGGGAAAACAAGGGTACATCCTGCAGACAGATCACACACACACACACTAGTACAGAACTACTTTGAAAGCAGTCCTCTCTCACCGAACGTTGTAACCCAACACCCACAACACATGTATCTCACTCCAACACATAGTCTGAAGCTGCCTGAGAGGACTGGAAAACCAACATGGCGGGTCAGAGCAGCAACAAGCTGCCAAGCACTTCATTCTTAGCTTTCCCAGGGTGGCAGGGTGGGTTAAAATGGCACGTCAGGGTCAGGGGGAATGCTGGGGGGGGGCTCATGTTTCCAATGGTTCTGAGAGGCCAGGTTTGCATGTTGCAGCCCACACAGTCTATTAAAAGATGTGAAACATATTCAGAGAATGTCAGTCGCAACCAATGAAAACAAGGATCAGTGCACTGCATCATGGCTTCCAACAGGCATCAAGATCAATCCAAATACTTGGTGCTGGCTGAATGCTCTCAGTGGGGCACAGGTGAAATATTTGTATTTATGGAGCAAGAAACACACAAATACATTATTTCAATCTCAAAGAGTTGATTTTAACCATGTTTTTGGGTGGTTTGATTATCCTTGATCAGTGAACGCAGTACTTTAAAGTGAGAATATATTAAATATGACTGTAACCGAATCACCCTGAAACCAGGTAGTGTGCAGAAAATAATTGAATCCAAACGAGGAAAGATTTCTGAGAGTATAAATTGTAATATGTTTGGAGCTGAAATTATGACAGGTACGACACAACTATCACTGCAGAGATGTAATCACACATCCGTGGGCACATGAATTGACCTAACCATGTCCGAGGTATTAAAATGAGCTGGTTCTCCGTGTGTTCTCCGTGTACCCGGCTCCGTGCTCCGCACGATGCGGGGCTTCGCGCTGCAGCTGAGGGGAGAGCCGCTACAGGCGACGGCGAGGGCAGCCATTAATGCTCCGAAACAGCGGGGTCCTAATAAATATAAAAACTCACAAAAACATAACACTAGGGCGCTTTCTAATCTCACAGTCCATTCTGCCCTGTCCCAAACCATGGCAGTGGCTAGCTCACAGATCTCAGTGTTACATTTCACCTCATTTAATTTCAAACCTTTATTTATCCAGGTGTATCCCATTGAGGTCATTGATCTCTTTTAGATCATTGACCTCGGAATGATTATCCACTATATTTCGGAAAGGTATAGCTTAATATTGAGAACCAAACTCAATCTAAAAATGGGAAGAGTTACATGTAGCATTCTCTCATATCAATAAAAGGTCTGAATAATGTGAATAATGTAATGCCACGCAAGTTCTTTACAAACGCATCCGCTTCGAGGTCTCTAACTTGCTCGAAACTTGTGATTACTGCATTCCTACTCAACAATGATATTCACACGTTGAAATAAAAATGGAGGCTAAAAAAGGAAACAAGAGCTCCCCTCTAAATACCACCCATTTCTCTTAACCGCCACAGAGGCTGGGGGTTGGTAGGTGGGGGAGGTGAAGAAGAGCAAGTCACTATCCAACAGATCTGGTTTTCTGATTGCTGAATACCAAAACACACAGGGAAAGAATAACAAGCACAAATAGAGAAAAACACAACCCAGCCACAGCTCGATTCACACGCCTGAGCGAAATCAGGAATGTTGCCAAAGACAGAAGCATTAACATGATGTAGTCAAACACCACCATGATGCAGACACTATTATTTCATAAAAATAAACGTATAAGTGCAAAAACCTACTGCAATAATAGATGCAGCTTAAAAAGTCAGGTTTAAACATAGTTAAGGTCCATGGAATGTCTGCAGAAAAGAAGCGGTTCAAAATAAGGACACAATCAACTGGAAAACATCCAAAAAGTTAGCTTAAAAGCTAATATAGCATTTGTTGCCTATGGCTGGTCTGCTAACAAACACAGCAGCTGGCTGCTCAGCTAACATGAGTCGTCAATAATGATCTAATTGCAAGTTATGTCATTGATAACTTGAAAAATTCGACAATTTTGGCGTCCCAGAAAAACATTGAAGACATTAATGTCGAAAGGACAGTGCCCAAAATATATTTTGGCTTCCAACTAACAAGTTTGCATATTATCTTAACGATACTGCCTGATTCTGAACTTCCCTACTAAAAACATCTGTTGTAGGTCTAACGTACTTATAGGCTAAACTCAACCTAATAACATCTATGTTACATTTAATTAATTACATATGCTGTGCTGCTAGAGTTGTTTGGTCTGTGTAACGTTAGTGTATGTTTAGGCTTTGCGGAGACACATTATCGAAACTTGCTCCACAAAAAAAGATTAAAGCAATAGTTCAACACGACACAAATCCGTAGCTTAGAGGGTTTGTGGCAAAGCACAATATCCCTATAACGTGTATTGGTCGTCCAGGTCGTACAACGTTATAACGTTAACCAAGTGTGACTGGTTTGTTCCTGGTATCAAAACTGAGAAAAACTGAACTGCAGGGACCCTGAATGGAGCAAACGTTACACCAGTCAAACTCTCGAAAACTTGCAGGATGGTGTCGAAAGCTTTGGAGACATGTTTGCTTAAAATAATGTTTTAGCATTATCTATTATAACACTATTAGTGTTGTGGATTTCCACACCAACAAGCTTGCCATCAAAAACAACACGAGGAGCTGATCAAAAAGTCATGGAAGATCAGTCCAGACACAGAGCAGCACTGCAGGCAGACCATCAACATGGAAAGCTTGTTAGCAAGTCACTTTAACAATGTGTAAAGATAGTGAGGACAACCAACTTGTTCTAATAAACTTATGTGGACGCTGAGGAGTTAGCCAAGTTGGTTAGCTTCATGGCTACGTTAGGGGGACTGAAAACATGATCAATACTTGTCTGTAAATGGAAGCAGTAACATACATATAGCAGTGTTATATTAACAAATATTCAAAGTACTCACCTAAAGAGGCATTCCAAACTTGAACAAACGAGGCAAATGCATGTACAGTGGGAAGTCCTTAGAGTATCCCAACATAAAATCCAACCAGACCAGTAGGCCTGCAAATCGGCCTCGGAGTCTCCTGTATCCTTTGCCCTTAAAAGTAGCTCCCCCTCCAGGGGTAGGAAACAAACTTCTCAGCGTCTCCTACGCATAGGCGGAAAGTTAAATTCCCTGTCCTGTTCAGGTGCACTGCATCCATTGAGTGTCTATTATAGATCCCCGGTGAATAAATCCATGTATTTTAGTGTATTGTATATATACAGTCGCTATTTATAATGGGATATATGCTGCTGTATGTGATACAGGGCTCTGATTCTGTCTCGGGTCCTTACACTCGCAGAGGCGCCCATCCCCCTCCTCACCGGCATCGACCGCGGGTCCCAGCGAAACTGACACACAACCACGCCACGGGGTTTCCCTGGCGACAATGCAGGGGCTCTCTGGCTGGGCGGCCCTTGCTCTGATGTCCCGCCTCTCGCTAATGATTCGATATCAATGTGTCAGTCATGTTACACACGACGTATACATGAAAGTCTTTGGGTAATTTACAGCGTCGACGTTTTTTCTCTACTAACTACGTCAAACGGGGCGGGCTCCTTTTTCAGGAGCGGTACGACATTTCAGTTCCATTATGATATGTGTCTACTGGTGGTGACTGCAAGCAAGGAGAGCGAGAGGGGCTGGAATCGGGAGACGCTTTGACAACCAACTGAAGATCGGTGCCTCCTTATTTTCTGGAAATTATCGTTATAATATGAGAAATTCCATGGGATTTATTTTAACTCGTTAGTGGGATTATTAATGCTTTTTATTTGAGGGTTGTATGAATCTATTTAACGTGGAAGGAGCTTTCATAGCAATTCAGAGTAGCACTAGCGTTAGCTACACGGGGTCTCTAGGGCCCAGTTCCAGGGACACCAGAGTCAGGGTTGGCCCAATGGGTCAGCCCCACCTACCGGCACGTCAGATGAATGGAGGATGAGGTGTTGCTGTGTAGCATCTGCTGAGGTGTTGGACAGGGAAATTGACCAGTGCTCCTGAGTTGCATCAATTGATAACTTCTCCCTCCAGTCCTACCTCTGTTCCCGCTACCGAAATAAGTCTGTTCCTACTCCCACACTATGCAGACATACTGAACAAGTGACCGACACAACGACACTTCCCGTCAGCAGCGGCTCAATATAACCATTTCAGGGAGTTGTAACAGAGGAACTGGCCAGCTTTCTGTGATGTTTAGCATAAGGAGATTTGAGACGCGCCCTGGTTTTATTTTTCATTACATTAAAGTTATTGGCGAGGCTACTAAGCACATCGGATACATTATTTAACAGAAGTAATACATTGTTTTCATATAGCTTTTACAGTCTATGAGCTTAACCAAGCCACTATTATAAAGAAATAGTGATAATAACGCGATTGGTTTCTTGGCCAGTCATGAGACTCGAGGGGCAACTCGGATTGGCTGTGGAGATAAATGCCAACGTCATTTGTTGCAGAGGTCTGACGAGCGACGACATATAGACAGCAGAATAATTGTGTTGTGGGGCTTCAATAATTACAAAGATTTTCATGAATCTGAATCAGAAAAACACAATTAGGGACGTTTGCATTTTATACATTTGGGTATGAATGTATATGATAACGCGCAGGTAGACGGAACAAAGCAGTGATCCGGATGTGGTTTAATAGTATTACACGAGATTGTACACCTTACTGTGACACTTGACATTAAAATAGCAATGTGCTGTCAAACCATCATAATAGTATCACGCTATGGAAATTATGTAAACATTCACATTACCTTGCATTAGTAACAGGTGTGAACACAATCCTGCTAAGCCACTGACGACAATGCATATTTGTAATAGATCAATGATATAATATGAAATGAAGGCTACGCCCTACAGTAATAACCAACTTCCCTTGGTTATTTATACTTTCAACTGGATATGCAATTATTTTCTAGGAATGACTTCCTCTCTGTGGTATCTACTCGGTTGTAGGCTACTAAATAAACACGACCCCCAGAGTTATTTCCAACTGCACGTCATGAGGTTAATATTTACAAGCTCCCCGGCCGGACTCTCATGGTCGGCAGTGGCCATATTTCACAATGCTGCCAGTTACTGCGGTGAAAAAGCAATGTAATATGGCCGGTCCTAACCACGCACTGCAATATGGCCACCCTCCCCCACACTGCTCCAGCCCCTCTCTCATATGCATTGTCTGTATGTTCAAGTGTGTAAGAACAAAACACGATTCAAGATGGTTGTTACTTAATCTGGAGGCATTTTAATTGTCTCCATAGTCTGAAGCACTCACACAAATGGCTGTAAAACATAGGAGGTATCAAAGTGTCGACATGTAACTAAAATTGACAGAACTTTGGGATTCCAACTTGTCTATTCAAATGTACATTTCATATCGCATGCATGCCACCGCCGTTTCTTTATGATTTCTGTTACAAATAAAATCTTTGACATTAAACCAGGAATTCTGGGAGTGGCAGCTCATGCCCGCAACTATTTGTAAATGAGAACATAGACACAGCTCAAACATAATTTTGTGTATTAAGATTAATAGTGTGCAAGACTATTCACCAAGTCTATAATAATTGTCATACACACAATTATCTGCATTTTGTCAAGCTGTAAATGGATCAACTTCATTAAAGTGAACTATCCCTCACAGGCAGTCAGTGCATACGTTAGCCCAGCAGACCTTTACTACATGACGTTTTGGCTCCACATAACCTCTCGACCGCCATCAATTCTGACAGTAACTCCAAACATTTCAATTTAGAGTTTTCTCCCTTTTGCACAAAGAAAAACAATACAACAAAGTCCAGTAACTGCGCATATGGTTCAGGATGGCACACCACAGATTATACAGTATATGGCCCGCCAACAGGCAAATGTATACAATATATAGCCATTTATCCATAATGAGTAATGTTATTGATTCTATAGGATAGGGGTCTTTGGGAGAAAAAGTTGCATACAGACACAAAATCATTTAAACATCAAAATGAGTGTTCACAGATTATCAGTTAATAGGTTATCCTTCACTCAGGAATAGTGGATCCAACAGGGAAATACTACGTCTGCTATGGGTATAATTATAATTACATCGTGTATTTGTCTAAAGTACATTGCCCCTTGAATAAGCATATTGGTCGGCCACCAACTCAACTTTTTTAACTTTGCCATATCTGAAACTGGACCACATACTCAAGGAGTTTGAAGTGTTCTAATAAGACTTTAGTAAGTAAGTTGCCTGTGTGAAAAGAGAAAGGTCACCAGAAAAAGAAAATTCAACGGCCTACGCCTCGTTACCCTGTGAACAACCGTGCTCTCTCCCCTCCTGCTCTTAAGGCCGGCTAAGCGGCTCAGACAAAGAATGAAAGGGAAACAAATGGCTGAGGGGGTTTGTTTCTGGTGTTGGGACATGTCTGGATTTCCCTTGTTCTTCAGGTCTTTTTTTTTTGTAAAGGTTGCCGCTTGCATGCCAAGACTCTCCCCGCCGCTGGGAAATAATGCCTTCTGCTGGATGCACAGTGGCACTGCAGAGCAATGCCTCCCCCACCGTGGGGGTCAGCCCCTCAAAGCAGCTTCAGACTCCCAGTGACGTTGTTCACCATCTCTTCCTCCCCAAGAATGGCCAGCACGGTGCGCGACCCAGCTTCCACCTGCCAAACAAAAAGGTATTCATGTCAAGGCACTTGTTAAAACTGAAAAAATACATTTTCTAACCAAAGATTATAGTACCAATAATTGGACAATGTTTTGCGAATAATTACTAGTGCTTCCGAAAGACAAGTACACACCATATTACTTAAAAAAGGTCCTACCTGGGTGAGCCCTGCATCTTGGACCAGGTAGGCGGGTAGACTGAGGCTCATGGCCAGGGCCTGCAGCTCCAGTAGATGAGCCACATTAGTCCCCTGGACCACCACCTTCTTGGATCTGTATCAACACCATGCACATTGATTTTCATCATTAATGTTAATTAGAAACAACTTAATTATTCAACAATATTATAATCATCAGAGCAATGATCGAAAAAGAAAAATGCAAAGGAAGTACATCTATCCCTACACAGTTTAGGGGCTGCATTTCTTTTCTTTTTTATTCAAGAGACTAAGGCTGCTTTTACACGGGAACGTTTGCGTTTATGCACAGTATGCGTTTTCAAAAAAGTCTTCCGTTCACATGCATTCGTTTCATTTAACGTGTCTGTTCAAACGAGACCGCTGGAAACGCTGTAGTACATATGCCGGGACTGTAAGTGGCGCTGTAACTTCCGCCACAAAATACACCAAAAGCAGCGAAGAAGACCCCGGAGCAGCCCTGAGCAATGTTGCCATGGCTACCCTTCTGTTTATGCCCCGCGTGGATTTAGCAACATGTAGTAGTTCATGTAATTCTCCATGTCCACTTGTTGCTGATGGTTGTGGTAGAGGAGCTGTAGATTTTGCACTAACATCTGTAGCATGGTCGAGCTGTAGATGTTGTACTAACATCTGTAGCATGGTCAGTAGCAGTAGCACTAGCAGTAGCTACTGACAGTAGCTACTGGCCATGCTACAGCAGTGAGCAGCAGAGGTGGGGAGAGGCGGGGCTATGGAGAGTTTCGTTTGCAAATCTATCCACCTTGGGACCCGTTATCATTTGTGGGGTCCGTTTGTTACGGCCTCGTGTAAATAATAGGGCTATACGTAAGAGAAACTATGCAGATACAAGCCGTTTCGTTCTCGTGTAAATGTGGCCTAAAGGGGGACTGGCGTGAACACTTCAGGAACTGTAGCATTATTGGATAAACATTTTGGATTTTTGCAAACAGCAGCTGTAGAACATGCTTGCTCCTCCTGAAATAAACTGTTCTGTTGTGCAGGTCTTACCCACTGTGGTCCCACTTCCAGGCCATCTCCCTCCAGCTGTTCTTCTCTTGTAGAGCCTGGTACAAACCCACAGCAGCGTGCCCAACCTGGGCTGCCACCTGCACACAAACACCACTGATGTCACCACTACATGGGAATCTTTATTTATTTATGTGATGTTTCAGACCAAGTTCAAACAACTCCATACTGGACCTGGAAAACATAACTCAGCTTTCTATTGGAATGCAAACTGTTCAACTAAATTGATATGAAATCCCTACAATCACTGTTTCACTGCAACTGATTTTAGCATTAAATACTCCCACGCAGAGCAAAAGCACAGAAGAACATCAAATATTACGAACTAACACAAATTAAAACCTTTGTAAAACACCCAAAAATATAGCAGCTTTACATCACTGTAAAACCAGAGATTCAAATGTAGCTACACCAAAAAGCCCTTCCTTAGTTTTGGTGGGAGGAGCGGCATTTTATTATTATTTTTTTGTATTTAGCCTTTATTTATACAGGTGTAAAATCTCATTGAGACACAAGGTCTTATTTGCAAGAGAGACCTGGCATTGGAACCAACCTTTCCGACCCCCATGGCCAGGTCCATGTTCACCACAAACACCATCTTGAACATGAGGTCATCGTCCCCCTCTTCCTGAGAGTGGAGCAGACAGAGAGACACTGAGATTTGGCTTTGGACAAACTTCACAAGGTCTAATGTACCAAGGTGTACCTGTGGGGACTAAGGCTATCTTATGGGCACCTCATTCTCCAGCTTGTTGAAGTAGTACATTGCCGCCTCCTCGGCAGACACGTTCCGAGTGTGTAGAAGTGCCTGAAGAGAAGAGAAAAAAGGGAAAGGGAAATGGGCATATTAGTTTATAATAGTGTGGCCATACCTGTCACTTATGTTGGTTGACAACTGATAAATACATATTACATTACTCAGGGATGCAAACTCATCAGGTATGAAAAAGGTGACAAGGATCCGAGCCCACGGAATATCGGCTTTAAAATGAGGAATAACAGAGGATTTTAGCAGTCAGAACAACTAAAGCAGCAGTTAATAATAACAGAAACGCCAAAGAGTCACATCTAATAGAAATATATTTAAGCATTTATTTTAATTGTGTAGCAGTCAGTTTATAATTTTGGCAGGACTGTTGAGCATTTTGAAAATGTATTTTCATGCCTCTGTGCAAGGCTGTCTTTCTATCTTTATAGCCAGTGGTGTAAAGTAACTAAGTTCATAAACTCAAGTACTATACTTGGGTACAATTTTTAGATACTTGTACTTTATTTAAGTATTTCAATGTTTTGCTACTTTGTTCTTCTTCTCCTCTACAGTTCAGAGGTAAATGGTGTACTTTTACTCTACTACATGTATTGAATACCTTTAGTTACTTCACAGATGTGGATGAATGATGTGAAATATAATCAAGTGTTAAATCAGACTTTAGTTCCACCTGGAGTAAATTCACAAGCTACCCTGCAGTATACAAAGTCATTCAAACTAGCTGCACCTTTACCAGCTTTGAGAACACTTTCATGATCAATCATTATAAAACATATCATATATATTATTCTGAAATGGACCAATCTGCACAATGACTACTTTTGCTGTTGCTACTTTAACTATATTTTGATGATAATACTTTTCTACTTTTACTTGAGGAACATTTTGAATGCAGGGCTTTTACTGTAACAGAGTATTCCTACACTCTGGTACTTCTACTCAAGTACAAGATCTGAGTACTTCTACTTTTACTCAAGTACAAGACCTGAGTACTTCTACTTTTACTCAAGAACAAGATCTGAGTACTTCTACTTTTACTCAAGTACAAGATACTTATACCACCTCCGTTTATAGGCTATGAAAGAAACTATTTGAAAACGAAGGCTAAAGCTAACGTTAGCAGATAGTGACAATGTATGCTAGTTAGCTAGCTCAACGATTCATTAAATAATATTGCGACAGAAACACTTTTCAGTGCACATCACGCTCTGCTGCTCCGAACACCCCGTTCTAACCAGCGGTCCAGTCTGTGCCACAGTGACTCTGGACCGCACAGTTAATATTAACGAACGCACCGTAGGTAATGTAGCTGCTGAAGCTAGACCCTCATCCCGGAGCAGCAGAGCCTTATTATACATCCATGAGCAGAGCTGACAGGCAGGAAGACTTGTGCTCGCGCTTCATTATAATATATAAAAAAAGAACACCATGCGTGTCATGATGGCACATAACAGCTCGCGGCCGCAGATTACTCCGGGTCCCAGACCCCCCCCATACCCCAAAAATATTTTTATTGCAGATCTACATGAATCACACAAACGACCTATTTTGGAATCAAAACGGCGAATTTCGCCGAAAGGTAACAAGTTTGCATCCCTGATTACTACATTACATGTTACTTGTTAGACGCTTTTATCCAAAGCGACTTACATACTCAATACTGTGGCCAATCCCCACAGGAGCAATTTGGGGTGAAGTGTCTCAGGGACACAACGACATGCTGACTGCAGTGGGGTTTGAACCTGTGACCATCTGATCCCCATACCAAGCTCTACCCACTGCGCCACACGCCTCCCCATATATTCAGTTATACCTCTTTTTTCATAACTGGTTCACTCACACTGCTCAGTTTATACTATATTTAATTATTGGTCGTTTTAAGTTGTCGGATGTAATCGAAAAAAATGTATATAAGTCGTCCCTGTACATTAGTAAAAAGTCTGGCTAATACATGACTTAGAAGAGGTATCAAAACCACAACACTGGAACCAGTCAAACATTACCACATGCTACCTTTCTAAAGGAATATCTAACAGTTGATCTTGCATGAGCAGCTAGGTGCCACCGGTATGTTAGGTGACGGTTATCTACCCTTTGCATTTGCATATCTATAGTGTTAAAAAACGGACATGGGTTTGGGTGTGGGTGTGTGTGTGTGTGTGTGTGTGTGTGAAGCACAGACAGGTACAGTCTCGTGTTGCACACCTATGGTATATGCTAAATACAAATCATTGTTTTAAAAGCTCACATCTTATGTTATATTTAATTTAGTAGTTAATTCACATTCTATTGCTAAAATGTAAACCAACATTATTTTGTTTAATAACATAATATAGTTACATGATATTTTTCAGGTTTATAATTTGTTTATATTCATAATTATGTTCCTTTAAGAATCAATGTGTCTAATAATAATAATGTAAAACTGTAATACAGTCATTTTTTGCCTGAGACGGTTTTCATACAGGGACTATATCATACAGGTACAACCCTCATCTAAAGAAGTGTGCTTTGCTGCCCACCAGGATGCCAGGTCAAGGTTCACACTGTCGGCTAAGCTACTACTGTAAGTGAATACTTAAACTGTAAATAAAAGAGGACTATGGTTTAGTCTTTTATTATGTTTTGTTTTAGCTAAGTCTGTAGCTCTCTTTGGTAAGTCAATCCCATCAGAATCTGTCCCTGAATACACATGACATAAACCATTTCTGGAATCATCTGATGGGGCTACAGCTATAACCTATGCTCTTAAAATAAATGTTATAAGGGAATTCTCTATGTAACAGCGGTACATTTGAATGTTTAGCACTAAAGTTGTCAAGTAATGCAGTGTTCACATCTTATAGTATCGATCAGGGGAAAATGTTGTGCATGATCAAGATACCATTACATTGTAGCCAATAAGGTATAATAAAATGGGCGGCGATGTGCTACCCACTCAGGTTTATTTTCTTTCCATACATCTTTCAGTACTATTAACCATCAACACAGCTATGTCATAGCTTATAGAAACATGAAACAGTCACAGTAGCACACATCATTAAATGTTGATGTAAATGTGTGCTGTCCCACCTGTTTGGCTGCCTCCTCTGGGATGTCCAGCTCTCTGAGCTGCTGCAGGAAGACAGGGTTGACATCCTGAGAGCCGGAGTCTGGGCCTGCCTGCTCTGAAGGCTCCATTCTTCACTGGAACACAGGCAGTCACAATGAACACCTGCTCACAACCGACGCACAGGTCAACACAATCAAACTTTGGAAAAATATACATCCCGTCCACAATCGATAATATTTATATGAATGACTGTGTGCATTTTAGAGAGCACTTCTTATTTTAAAGGCTCTTTCATTGTGCAGGCCTCTAAACGCAAACATGATATTTGCGCACATTGCTGGCTGAATCGCTTACTAACACAAACTGTACAAGCTAATGTAATGATCAGAGGGCCTGCAGCGGTAACATGCACACTTTCAGTTTTAAACACATAGGAGCTCTTCTGGTAAACTGACACAATGTACATAAAGTAGTTTAGTTCATGCATTGATATATATATATTATTTTGCAAAACGTCGTACGTTTTGGTTATGATGTTACTTACCAAGCAGGGCCGCATTAATGTAATAAGATATGACGCTTTATTCATACGCAAAGGGGGATATGAAGAGAACGAATAATATCGCTACACTAACAAACAGCCACAAAGTGTTACAAAATAGGTTTTAATGTTGCTAGCTCTGGCTATGTTATTTACAGCTGTTAGTTCATGTTACACACCATTACAATTAGCATCGCAAACAAAGCAGCTAACGTTAGCACCGTTTAGCTTTGGTTTATACTTCCATTTCGAAATATTTCACTAATAATACGAATCACAAATTGCATTACGTTGCTTAACTTCAATGCTTTCAAACAGTCATGTAACGCTCAGGCAACCTTTATTGCTTAAAAGCTGTTGTTAAAAAGGTAGCTATGAGCATAGCATAGCATTAGCCGCTAACGCTAACTGGACTAGCTTCCTTCCAGTCAGTTGCAGAAGTAATCCCATGTCAGTTACCTGTTCTGCGCAGCTAGCTAGACAGCAGGAACAACGAAGGCGATTTCCTCACAGTGGTTTTTAGAAGTCTCAATTTTCACCTGCGACGCAAAACTTTCCGTTTGAAACTGAGAGAACATTCAGTGGGATTCCCGACTGTACGGTGTTCAGCGTTACTCCATTTTGGACCCTGTGTTGGTTGGAGGATGCTGCCTCTTGATGAATGTGGCGTTCCAGATATTCTGCTGATATTAATTATGCGGTGGTGGTCATATGCTGGTGCATTATGAATATGGGCTTCCCTTCGTTAAAAACGTGAGGATGAGCGCTTGCTATAGGAAACATATCTATTTTAATAATCTAATCAAAACATAATGGTTGTTTTTACAATGACTGTCCATTCGAATATGTTAACCTGAATAAGCAACAACGTATATTATAGGCTAGGCTACTTAATCCTGTAGCAGCTGAATAGCAATAAACTGTGAAAAGGTCTGTTTAAATGAAGTAGTACACAGAGGAGCCTGTTTTTTTTTAAGAAGGAAAACACAACAACTTTTAAGAATACTTTATTACATCAGCATCTGTGAGAATGGGCACCATCTCTTATTAAACAGGTTAAACCACTACAGTTACATTTGCAATCAATATGTACACTGATATTAACACACACAATAAGAAACATCCTTAAAACTGCTCATTGCAGAGCCTGCTCTACATTGCCAAATTTGTACAGCCTAAACAGGTATAATGTTCCTCTTGAAATGACTTTATTATCACTGAGCTTTTAGTCTTATCTGAAGTGACAGTGTATGACAGAACAAGCCATCCGTTCATGAGTCATTAGTAATCTGTATGTTAAGTCATGTAGCAATAAACCTACAGGCTACATTCTCACATGCCTGGACCCGGGAATGACATACATAAACACTCTTCATTCACTTTCATCGTTTTGGTCGCTGATGACTAACTAGGGCTGGGTACCACACCTCATTACTTTTGAAGTCCATCACACTGTTATTAAGCATTAAAGTCAACGCAGGGTCTGATTTCCTGTCTCTTTGGGTTTCCCCTTGTGTTCACCTGAACCCAGCCTCTAATATCTGCAATTCCTAACCATTACCGAATGGTAATCCAAATTAAAGGGTAGTCCAACCACACCCAGCCCTACTGAAAGCCATCTCGTTCTGTCATTTAAATAAGAAAAACATTTGCTCATGTATAAAAGGTCTCTGTGCTCTAACTGAACAGAACAGTGACAAGATCAGCAATATCTACTGAACCAGTAGTAATATAATCAATATATAAACCTGTATCAACTTGACACAACAAAATGACAGACAGACCTTCAGCAAAGGAAGCGGTGCCACCTTGTGTTCAATACAAGAACTGTTTACCAGCCATGATGTCAACACCAAGAAACCTCAACACGTACCATCATCATAGCGTGGAGGTGAACCATGATTTTAATACATTGTTTAAAACCTAAAAGGAATGTTAAAATGTACACAGTTAAAAGAAATATGACTGACTAACAAAATAAAACACTGTGGTGCGCACTAAGATTCCACTTCATGGAGTTTCTTTATGGAATAACTTTTACTTTTCCTCTGACATCATTCCAGTGATTTGTACACTATAGACACATGAATAAGTATAAAAGCGAGAAACTAAAACAGTAAACTGACATTCAGTCGGGGAGCAAGTACCTTAAAATGCTCTAATGAGCTGGTTCTGATTTCCAATCTCAATTTCAGAAATGTGTGTGTGTTCGTACCGCGGCTGATGAGAATGTCCAGCTGGTGTTACTCTGTGTCAAAGACAGCAGATGCTGCACTGCTATACTGGTAGTTTTAGCTGGTTGAAATCTAAGTAGTAGTGTTGGTGTTGTGTCAACAGCATCACAGGAAAGCAAGGTACATTAGGCTGAGGTAGAGAGTGGCAGTGACTCAGCCGTTTTCTTTGATTAGAAGGGCGTAAAAACGTGTCCATTTCAGAGAAAGAATATGGAAGCTTAGGTAATCGTTTTGTGAATACTGCAGTCATCTAAGTAAATAACCAGTTACATCAATGTGTACTTTGTACTAAAAAACAGAAAATTGCCAATACAGAGTGTAGATTGGCAAGCAGTGAAATGGACACACACGCACGCACACACAGAAATAACTAATACAGCAGCGACAAGCACACAAGGCATAAGAGGTACCGCTTCATAAATTCACTCTGAGGGACAACAGTTAGCACACAGCTGTGATCAGCCTGAAGATCAGCTGACTGCAGATCAGCTGCTGTGTAAGACCGTCACGTTTGAAGTCCAGCACGTGTTCTTTAGAGATAAACACAGAGAAGTTTCGCTTTCAAATGTCTCTTCATTAGGTTAAGGAGAGCAGGCCTCATTGACTCCAGGGTTCTTGTCAGTGTCCACGCTCTGCTCCTCCTCAGAGAGCGCTCAGACCATAAGGTGCTTTCAACTCCAACCTGAGTCTTCTGATCCTTAGCAAAGCAAATGTTTTTTCAAAATCTCAGTGCTCCTTGACTTCCTCCTGAAAAGAAGGATTCATGTCAGTCTGCCTGTGGCTCTCCTGCTCCCAGGTCCAGCTGCAGGGTGTAGGTCTGGTCCCCCCCCCTTCCCAGTATCAGCCTGCTCCGTCACAAGTCTGTGACTTTATTCTCCACGGCGGCAGCGATCTGCTGCAGTCTGTAGCCCAGCTGCATCTTCTGGGCTGTGGGGTCCTCCTCCAGCGCCGTGATGATCTGAGGATCACGCAAGGATGGGAGGAGGGAGAGTGAAGAGGAGGAACACAGATGACAAACACCATCAGATGGGTCATTATCATCAGAACACAAAAGCACACACCTTCATCAGCACACAAAAGAGTGTTTTCTACTTTAAAGAACCTTCTGTTTGTTTTCTCTTATCTTAACTAAGTCTCAGAGGGCAAGGGCTTCTGAGACACGTGTGATTTTGGGCTATAAAAATTTGTCTAAATGTCAGTCATATGAACGTTTATGAGAAAGATGACTGAAAGAAATGCAATAAAGAATATTTATACATTTGGGAAGACTACTATGCAGTGGGTAGGCTCTGTTATCCCCTACTGTTTCAGCTTGTGTTAAACATATTCATTAACAATTGCCCCAATAAACAGTCATACAGGCAGCAACACATTATAAAAGCAATTTTTGTAATGTCTACGAAAATGTCACAATGTTTAACAAAGTCAGAAATAAACCTGATTGAAGACATTAAACATATTCTGCGAAAGAAGAACAAACTACCAGCTCCTCATCTACTGTACATGTTCAGGTATTTCATTCAGCGTAGAGTGTAAACACAAACCATACAACTGATAAACTGCTGAGTCACACTGAGGGTACACACCTGGTCGTAGTATTTGTTGATGTACTTGTACAGCTCGTGCAGTGCCACCAGGTAGTTTAGCTCCCCAGAGTAGTTCTGAAACACAAAGCAATTAGGTCACATGTCCTGTGTGTATGTATGTGTGTGTGGGTGTGTGTATTCTGTGCACGTACCCGAGACAGTTCAGCCAGAGCAGAGTTCATCTCCTGGTCACTGGCTGAGATGGTTTGCCTGATGTCCGCATAGTACCTGCAATAACAGCAGTTACAATTAAAAAAGAATACCAAGTTAAAAGATATCTTCAAATGCAAACCCCACCTGTAACCAACAGTATTGTATACTTCATAACATTTATTTTGTTTTATTACAGAGCATTAATATTGGACAATAACATTGCAACATGGATCGAATGCAAGTCATATTGTTCAAGGAACCGTTTAACACTATGTTTTAATGGGCCTAAAGGGTATTTGTTGGAATTGTGAAAGTGACTTTTTGCCATACTATTTAATCAAACATTTAACTCATCAGGTAACATTTGCTCTAACTCCTATTATTAGCCATAACCTGCCATTTTCATTTTGTTACAGCCAACAGGCTATCATGTCTCACCATAATCATCCCTTACATTATCATACTCATCAACAAGCAAGCGGCATTATCTTTTTTTGACTATAAATATTGATAGTGAAGTTGATCTTTAATGCCTAAACTAACCCGTTAGTTAGCCTGTGTTAGTGTTGAGCGTCACCATTAATTAAACATGAACTCACCTTTCTACCATTTGCTTGTAGCGGGGGATGTCTCTGGCGTACAGCAGCTTGTTGATGGGAGAGTCCTGCTCAGAAGGACAAGGAGATGAGGACAAGGAGATGAGAACACAGAGGGGGGGAGGGGCTGCTTTACGGCTCATCACCAGCTGCAGCATTTACAGCTGTAACTGTTCCCCCTGTTAAAGTGCCCTCTTGTTTTTCATCTTCAGTCTCTTGTGAAAAAGTAAATACGTTTCAAACCAGATTGACCCCGAAACAGCTATTGAAAATAAGAGCCCATATAGGATGAAAGTGTGTTCAATCTAAGATCATGAAGCTCTGCTCACCCGGCCCAGCTTGTGCTCGGCGATGGTGCAGGAGTCCATGAAGGTCTGAGAGATGACGGACAGCACGGCGTCCACGTGGTCCGAGGCCTGCACGTCAAAGATGAACTGAGGGTTCTTCACAATGTTGATCCAGAAACGCAGAGGCAGACTGGAGAGGAAGAGGAGACATCAGACACCTGGCTCCAGCACCTCTGAAGGGCTTTGAGTTCATTGTGTGTGTGTGTGTGTGTGTGTGTGTGTGTGTGTGTGTGTGTGTGTGTGTGTGTGTGTGTGTGTGTGTGTGTGCGCGCGCGTGTGTGTGTGTGCACGTGCGTGTGTGTGTGTGTGTGTGTGTCTCGACTGTACCTGTTGGTCTTCCAGATGTGTATGGTCTCCGGGTCGGAGATGCCGTGTTTGGCCGCCTGGTCGTCCAGCAGGTCGAAGAAGTATTTGACAGCCAGCGGGACGGGGCGGCTGGTGCTGAGGATCACTGTGAACAGGTCGTCCACAAACTTCTGCAGCGTCCCCTGGAGAGCGAGAGGAGGGGGAGGGAGAGGGGGAGGGGGAGGACGACGTTTGTTTGTTACTGCTTTCACTGTGTACCTGCAGTGGGTTCATGTTGCAGGATTTATACGTGAATGTATTTTTTATTTTGCACATGAAAAAGTTGTGCATTGTTTATATAAATGACTGTGGCCATTGTATCTGACTTTAAGGTTCAGGCTGTATGCACAGTAGATAAAGTGTACATATTAAGTCCCAGGCTTTTTTTTTTAAACAATACAAATTGTGCAAGAAGAAACTGAGTAAAAACAAATTGTGCAGATTATGTCACAAGACCTATGTGCAAGTAATGCAGATGAAGTAAACTATACATACAATAAATAAACCAAATGTTGGGAAGTGAACAAGTAAATATAATATGTACTTTATTATTGTAGTAATACATTTATTGTGAAATGCAAACAGATCAATATATCTAGTGTGTGTGTGTGTGTGTGTGTGTGTGTGTGTGTGTGTGTGTGTGTGTGTGTGTGTGTGTGTGTGTGTGTGTGTGTGTGTGTGTGTGTGTGTGTGTGTGTGTGTGTGTGTGTGTGTGTGTGTGTGTGTGTGTGTGTACCTTCATGGAGAGCAGGCGGGTGAGGTAGATCTCGGGGATGGCCTTGGCCCTCTCTCTCTCCCTCAGACTTCCTCTCCGGTGTTTGGGCAGCTCGGGCTCCTCGCTGGCCTTCACCAGGTGCCACAGCCGCACGCCTCCCTCGTCTGCATCCTCCAGCATCGGGGTCTCTGCACACGAACATGTTTGGAAAGCTTACATTATTACAGTTCACTGACCGGGGACCGTGCCCTGTTTCTCCTTCACATGAACAGAAACAGAAAGATCAGCATTGTCATTGAGCACACTCCTTCACATTTCACTTATATACACTTCAATGCCACAGACCTAAAGGAGCAGTTTGCGGTTAAGTATCTTGTCAAAGGACTTTCAAATAATTTGATTGCATGGGCTGGGGTTCAAACCGCTGACCCTCAAATGCTGCAGTCAAACAGAGGAGGTTTGTTAGGAGCTTATATGAAGCAAATGAAGGGTTTTTAGGATCACCATGAGGAGAACCTGCACTTCTCATCCCACAACATGTTCTCAGGTTCACTCACTCTCTCCAGCCACGTAGTCGTGGTTGTCATGGTGAATGTGTTTGCTGTTGCGAGGGACCAGCGCCACTGTGGATCCGTCTGGGACCTGATGAACAACACCACATGTACAGTCAGCATCATTAGACCGCAGGGCCCTTTATAACTTTCAGTGTTTTAGTGAAGTGTGCACGCTCACCTTGTAGTGCTGCAGGGTGTTCAGGCGCTTCCAGTTCCCCTGCACCACTGACGTCAGGTCCTCGTCTGACAGGATGAGATGACCGGCCACTCCAGAGCGCCACTCTGAAATAGAGATAATACTTATTGAATATAATATATGTGCAACACATCTCCTATAGGAGTTATTAGCAGCTCTTGATCCATTATGGACGCATCTATCAGATATACTTGAGTAACAGCAATATTTATGAAATATTATTTTTGGAACTGGTAGGTCACTGGTATGATTATGTTTTAATAACGGCACTTTTTGTGAATGAATGACATCAGCCTCCACCTGTGGGGGTAGGCCTTACATGGACGAGAAAGTTGTGTGATTTAGGGTTGGAAGGGGGAAGGCCTACAGTTTTACTATCACATTATTTGACACATTGTTCTTTAGTGATCACATTATTTGGCACGTTGTTTTAAGTATTTTAGCGCATTATTTAGCGCATTCATTTTGTCACTTTATTTTTGACGATTGCCTGATCACAATAGTGATATTTGGATTTTGGATATACAACTCAACTGACGTTTATTGCTTAATTTATCATCATATTAATGAGCGGAACAAAACAACATCTCCATGTGTGCCTTTTGGAAATGTGTGTCCCCGGATCTCATGTGGAACTCAGGATTAGGCACTTCAGTTCCCTTATTTATTGCAGCTGCTGCTGCTTTGCTAAATTATGGTTCTTTTTATGCTGTTGTTTGTGGTATTATTGTTGTCTGACAGTAGGGGGCACCACAGTTCAACAAATCTAACAAAAGCCCAGTGAGTGAGTGAGTGAGTGAGTGAGTGAGTGAGTGAGTGAGTGAGTGAGTGAGTGAGTGAGTGTGAGTGTGTGTGTGTGTGTGTGTGTGTGTGTGTGATCCTCACCCAGGTCCAGGGAGTCTGCGTGGGGCCGGTGGGAGAAGGAGGTGCCCTTGTAGACCTGGTCCAGCAGCTTCTCCTTCACCTGGGTGATGGTGTCACAATCCAGCACTTTGGAGGGCAGCGGCTGGCTCTCGTTCTCTGCTCCACCCTGCACCAGGACGTTCAGGGTCTGGGGGGGGCAAAGGGTGAGTGGGAGGAAACGGGGAACAACACACTTTGATGAAGGTCATGCTGGATATATCTGATTCTTTACATTTCTTAGTATTTATTTTTATTTGAACTTATGAAGAACAATGTCAGAAGACAGTAATAAAGAAAGAAAATCATCAAAATATGGAGCACAAGTTAGGAAACTGTAGATGAGTAGAGCCCAAAAGAACAAATCTAAAATAAATCAGTGTCTGTGTGTGTCTGTCTGTGTGTGTCTGTCTGTCTTGCAAGTATGAGTGGGAATGCAATCTTTTTTAATCAGACAACCATTTTACCCTTGTTGTTCTTTAATTCATGTTTAGGGATGCTCCGATCGATCGGCCGCCGATCGATATCGGCCGATACTCACTCTCTGCCGATCGATCGGTGCTCTCTAAAAATGCCGAGCCAATCGCATAACGTAAAATGATGACACTTTTCTCTGTGCGCGGCACTTTTCTCTGTGTGCGGCAAAACAAGCTCGCCAATTAACAATTTATTATTATGGAGAAATACTGCCAGCCGGTCTGGCAGTATTTTAAGGTGTCCGAAAAAGACAATAAAATAGCGGTATGCAACGTGTGTGTGAAGCAGAAATCCTGCAGCTCCACCCGCTGTGACGGACCGGTGAGCGGAGCAGAACACACACTAAGAGTTAGACCTAACACACTTAGCTATTTGATCTACCTCTGGAACAAGCTAAACTAGTTATAAATATATTTATTCTTCACTGTCGGGTCACTCATTACTGGATCAGTGAGCTGCATGAGATACTGACAGGCTGTCAGGAGAGAGAGAGAGGGGGAGAGAGAGGGGGGGAGAGAGGAAAAGAGAGCACTTCCGCTCATTACTCCCGTGTTATTATCCCAAGTTAATGTAAACTTGAATAATGTACTTCATTTGAATGTAATAATTATGTTGGTTGTTGTTTGTGGAAGCGCCAGTGAATGAGCCCCATTAACTGAGTTTTAAACATCACTTTAAATGGAAGATGTTTACAAATGTCATGTTCTTATATGTTGTATGTCAGGGACTACGGATGGAAATTAGCTCAAAGCTCAAATCCGGCATATTTACACTTGAAGCATTATTTGTCTAAAGTGTTCATTAATGTGCATTGTCCCTATTCAAATAAACGATTAAATGAAAAGATCCCCATAGGCCCCGCCCACTCGATCGGATCGGCCGATACTGATTCCGGCCCCAAAATTGGCGATCGGAGCATCCCTAATTCATGTATTTATTATTAGTGTTTCATGTACATCATTTTATTCTATTTTTTTTTGGGAGGAAAGGAAATGTTTGGTCTTGTTGAATGACGTGAATTCAAACCCCTACTCATTCAGTAAAAGTAAAATGATTCAAAGAAAAGCTCTCCTCACCAGGGTCTTGTACTCCACGTCCTCCCTCAGCAGCCGGTTGTCGTTCAGAGTGTACTTGGCCTTCCCGGTCACAGCGTCCACCGGCCCTTTGTCCACCTGGTGCTTTATGGCCCTGAACAGCATGTAGAGAGACTCCCCCGCTGAGTCCTACACACACACACACACACACACACACACACACACACACACACACACACACACACACACACACACACACACACACACACACACACACACACACACACACACACACACACACACACACACACACACACACACACACACACACACACACACACACACACACACACACACACACACACACACACACACACACACACACACACTACACACACACACACACACACACACACACACACACACACACACACACACACACACACACACACACACACACACACACACACACACACACACACACACACACACACACACACACACACACACACACACACACACACACACACACCACACACACACACACACACACACACACACACACACACACACACACACACACACACACACACACACACAATTTGTCGGCTTTAGTCATTTGCACTGTCATCCCATCTAATATAATCTGATCTGGCTCATTTAAAAAACCGTATGCAGCAGGAACTGGGCTATAGGGATTATTAACTGAATGGAGGGTACATTTATTGAATTATGGACGACCTTTGGATGAGAAGAGTATGATGTATTGTGTCTTTACGACATGCAGTCTCAGTATCATAACGCTACAATTATTACTCAGTTATGAAATGCTGCAGAGTCCATTTTGCTAACATGCTAATATGTGGCTGAGATATATGATCAGAGATAATTGGGGGTCATGTACTGGGTCATGCGTCTGCAAAGCAATGTGTTAAATGATTACTATTAATATAAAGGGATATCACAAAAGGGTCCTGCTGATAGATAGTCTCACACACTATCATCTTTTTCAATGCAAGGCTTTCACTTCTATTAACGGTAACATCTGTAAATAACTTCACAGCACAAGGTCAGCTGTTTGCTTGGAGCTCAATATATATACAATCCTAAAGTGGGCCATGACGCATAAGGAGTACTTTACTTTTAGTACTTTCAAGTATATTTTGATGCCAATACTTTTGTACTTTTACTTAAGTAAAATATTGAGGACTTTTACTTGAACTCTTTTGACTGACATTGCTTTTAGTTGTTTAGTTGTAGCGGGAATATATGTGATGACTGACCCTGAGGAAAGCATAGAGGCAGATGGACATCCAGTTGGTGAGCAGCTTCTCCACCACCGTCTCCGTCCTGCAAAGAGAACACACAGAGAGAACACACACTGAGAACACACACTGAGAATCCCTGCCAGACATCTCAAGCTTCAACGTTCAAGGGCTTTATTGGCATATGCACAGATGCTACAGTGTAGATACGGCAACATATTAAGTCCCAAGCTCCTTACATAATATATATAGGACATAAAACAATAAAACACATTTCTAAATATTTAAAATATCTGTGAACACCTTTAACCCCCTCACTCCTCCCCCTCTTACCGCCGCAGCATCAGTTTGGGGTTCTTGGCCACGTACTGCTCCACCAGGTCGTTGAGCAGAGTTTTCAGGATGTCGGTGAAGTATTCCAGCTTGCCGTGCAGCGACACGGTCAGCAGCGAGGCCACGTAGGCCCGGTCTCTTGGGGAGAAGGTCCGCTGGCTCTCCAGAGTGTGGATGAACTGAGGAAGAGAAGAGTGGAAAATCATCCCTCTGCTCAAAGGAAGTGCTTTCTGCACCTCCCGCTGGCGGCGAGGACTACCTTGGTGAGGAAGAGCTTGCTGTTGAGCAGGTTGGACAGCTGCACCAGGCCCTGCTCCACCGTCTGCCTCCGACACTCCTGCACGTCCAGGTCCCGCCTCAGAGGGGACTCCCGGTGGCCGGGGAAGAAGATCCGCTCAGCGTACCTCCGGTAGTCCAGGAACGGGATGCCGGAGCCCACCAGGTCACTGGACATGTCCATCATCTCCGTCATCAGGTCTGAGGCAGGGGGGAGATATGAGCTTCTACTATTATATCATATTATAATATATACAAAATGTTATATAATATATATTTACTTTATTGTATAAATATTTCAGTCCCTGTACACGACTTTGTTAAATTCTTACCTTGAGACTAGAAGTTATTTCTTTGTATTCATTTATAAGTTGTAACCTTATTAGTTATTTTGCCAAGATTTGAGGCATTCATTGTAAAACTCTATTATATAAATATTGTAAAATAAGCTATGCACTTGCTGCACTTCTGTTTAAACTAACTGTGTTTCCTTGTACCTTAACTGTACAGTTTATTATTTTTTTTACCCCATTATATTACATTACATTACATTCAGGTGTGGAGGGAGGAGCTGGGTTATTGACAGGGGTTGCAGGCTTAAATGAAACTCCTGTGCAGCAGCCATGTGGGCTGTGAGGAACATGTTTATGGAGGTGTGATGTGATGACACCATCTCATGAGGACAGAGTGAAGACAAAGACATCTGTTGGCCTCCACAACTTCAATAAACCTTCTTCTTCCATCTCTGGCTCTTCCCTCTGCTTCCTCTGTCCTGCTCTCTACTCCGTCATGTGACTGCTCTCTTACCTGTGAACTCTTTCTTGCAGCGGTCTCTCACGCTGGTCTCCAGGTTCTCCAGCTGGATCTGCACCTTCTTGTAGTCTCTCAGCGCCTGCTTACTCTTCCTCCTGACAGACAGCAGCAGAGACAGGGAGAGAGGACATGTGAACCAGTTTCACACTGGATTAGTGGAAATCCAGAGTGATTGTGAAAAACTTCAGTCAAGTAATTTGACCCAACAAACCCCCACCAGTAAGGATCAGGGTTAATCCGGGGGTCATGCTGGGTCAGAATGGAAACACTGGAGGATTGGGGTTACAGAGATGATCCTACACAGGTTTTCCAACACATGAAGGTGAAGGTGGAAGGTTTAAAAGTCTGATCTTCCATCTACTAAAGGTCCTTACACACCGAGCCGATTTTCGGCGTCGATAGATGTCGATAGATGTCGGGCCGTCGATGAGCGTCGTGTCGCCCTACTCAGATTGGTGTGTACTGCACCGTCGTGTCTTTTCGGCCGTGCCGACACCTTCCGCCGCTGATTCGACATGTTGAGTCGGCCAAAGGCCGTCGGACAAAGAAATCACTCTGATTGGCTGTTCAGCTTAGCGAATCAGTGCATGAGAAGCGAAACGGAAGTGATCTGAGATTTAATTGAACTCCAGCTCTCGACACAGGTTGGGGAAAGCCCCATGAGCTTCTCGCTGTAGAGTGAAAATGGAACGCACACGCTATTTGTTTATATCACGCAGTCTGTTCTTCTTCTCTCGGTTATCACGCAGTAGTCTTCCGGTTGTTGCCTCTTTTGAATGACGAATACACACTACCGCCGCCTGCTGGTAAGGAGAGTTATTGCCACTCACGCATGCGCAGTTCGTACGTGCTACTTGGCCGTCGGCTGAAGTCTTTGCCGTGTGTTCCAGTGCGACTGTTGGCCAAGACGCAGGAGACGTGAGGCGACGAAGAGATTTGTCATAATTTCATAAATGCCACAATGTTTGTAGGGCTTCGTATATATTAGGTATGCTAAGGTTATGTTTCTGTCTGCTTTTCTTCTGTTTTTTTTTTTAACATCAGATAATAGTGCCGTAACGGAGCCTTCAGTGTGAATGGCCAAAACGTTTTGACCCTGTAACCCTGTTTTACTTATTTAATGCAGGGTTATAGCATTTACTATTAAGTCATCAAGCGGGTCGTGGACCAAAAGGTTTTGAATATTATGGAACTCCAGTCAGAACTAAGAAATCCTTGCGGACTAAGTAGGAACTTGATGGATTGAGTCCCTCTAAATGAATTATACGGTGATCAGAGCATGGATTTTTTAATTTTTCTGTACTGCACAGAAGCATAACACCCCCCAACTGACCTGTAGATGAGCACGATGATGAGGACGATGAGGGCTACGATTGAAGCCCCCACCCCAACTCCAATCTGAGCCTCCAGGGGGAAGGTGGCCAGGCTGAGGGTGTCATACTGAACCTTACCCAGGGAGAAGTTCAGGTTGCCCATTCGGACCTGAAACACACACACAGTCAGCTTATACAGTCGGACCCGCTTGAGGGTTCAAGATCTGAATGGTTTCCTGTGTTTTCAGAGTGAAAGCACACACTCACTGTGAACTCAGGCAGATTGTCGGAGCCCTCCCTCTTCTTGCCGTTGGGTCCTGGTGGAGGCTGCTGAGGGGGGGGCTCGCAGTACAGGTGGTTTCTGGTCAGGGTCTTCACAGCACACACACCCTCCCCCACCATAACCTCCAGCTCGTCCTTAGTGACGGCCAGGTCCAGGTTCTCCCCCTGAGAACACATGCAGAAGGAACCTACAGTTTAGCTTTCAGAACTTTCCCCTAAAACTTTTCTTCAAAATGTTCAGGCTGCTTCAATTTTTAAATTGTTTATAGTGGTGTTATATTTGAATGTAGACTATGGTTTTAATTGACATAGTTTTTATTATATTTGTATTTACTCCTGTTTTGTACTACCACAATAAAACATAGCACTGCTTATTATTAGGGTTAGGAACCTAAACTCGGTTCCAGATGAGAACCGATAAGAAAATGCCGGGTACCGGGTACCCATACAAAATACACAATTTCGGTTCAGCTCAACGGTTCCTAAACGCGGTAGAACCTGTATTCCACTGGGTCCGTCTGCGCCGCGTCGACCCGGTGGAATACAGGGTAACCAGGGGCGGACTGGCCATCTGTGTGTTCTGGAGAATCACAGAACGGCCGGTCGTCAGTGGGCCGTTGACGGCAGGCTCGGTTCGCTGACGGCCGGCACCGCCCTTAATTTTTTTAAACGGCATCATGTAAGTTGCGCTGACAGGCGACAGAGGTCTACAGTGGCCCAACAGCGAGGCTCCCCCCGCCCTCCCGTAGACAGTTCACAAGCTCAGTCACTTCATAACACCAAAGATGGATCGCAGTAAACGCTCTAAAGTGAGGCTCCACTACACTAAAAAAGAAAACGACTAGGCACAGTGTAATGCCTGTTAATAGCTTGCCACAGGCATAGCTCAGTTAAAATAAAGCACAGCTATTGTGCGATACATTTGTATTAACACCATTAATGTAACTGGCTCAGACTGTTGAAGAATTAGAAGATTCAACTTATTGTCATGACGTAGTACAGGTACTATGTAACGAAACGGGTTCTCTGCATTTGACCCATCCTAGTGTTAGGAGCAGTGGGCTGCCATTATGTACGGCGCCCGGGGAGCAGTGTACCTTGCTCAGGGACACCTCGGTAGCACTTGGTCTTTCCGGGACTTGAACTGGTGACCTTCCAGTTGCCAAGCCAAGTCCCTAAGGACTTCGCCACCACCGCTCTAGTGTTCAGTGTCAACACTATGGACCTTACAGAGAAACAACACCTGTATCTCTCACGCCTCGCTTGAACTGTTCTGTTTGTTGTTGTGTCATGTGACCTTTTTTTTTAAGGAGACAGTTTAATACTGAGCGACAGTTGGAGTATAGAAAGCTTAGCTTAGTGTTATCATAAAGATTTTACATTTCATGGCTGAATATTTTGCTGATTTCCACAATGTGAAAAAGGCCAAGCGCCGAGTGATTACGTAACGAAACTTCTCCTTTAGCGAGACTTGGTTGGACACAGTAACAAACAGAGCAGATCTGAGTAAATGCAAATAAAAATGATTCCTCCGGGGCTCCTCACTTAATGTAGTCACTTAGAAACGCTCAGTGGACGAACACTGACGGTGTGTGATAGCCCTGAGCAACACTGTAGTGACAAGGCCTTTGAAGATGAGTAAATCAATAACTATAACTAACACCAAGTAAAACAAGTGCCCCCCCCCTGACCTCCAGTTGGATGAAGCTGCCGGGGTTGTAGCGGTACGCCTTCTGAGGGTCCAGCTGGTTGAGCGGGCGCAGGACAGGGTTGGGCTCGTAGCTGAAGCTCTGGGGGTTCAGACGGCTGAAGTCGAAGTGCAGGTTGTCCAGCAGGAACTCTGCAGTGACCTTTGACCCCCAGATGGAGGAGTCCACCATGGGAGAGCGGCACAGGATGAGGGAGGAGGAGTTCACCTCGCAGCGCTCCGAGAACTGATCCCACAGGGAGAAAGGAAGACGTTTAGTAAAGGAAAGAAGTTTAGAAATAAAAAAGCAACACACTCACACACACAGGCTTGGGGGACGAGAAAACCCATTACATAAAAAAAAAAAAAAGTGTAATCAGATTACTGCTACATTCATTTATTTATTTTTAAACCTTTTGTGCTCTTAACCTTTTATTTTTATTTATTTTTATATTGTCATATTTGATCCAATATGCTCCTTTAGATAACTTTTTACTTATTGTTCCTTATAGCCTTGTGAAGCACCTTGAGATGACGTTGTCTTTAAAGTGTGCTATATAAATCAAATGTATTATTTACATTTATAAAAAAAAAAAATGTATATTTCATAGGTAGACGTAATGTTTGATTGTTCTTTTTTAATTTAGGCTACTTTTAATTTCTTCAAATGCACCTGATTTATTCAACAAAAATACTGTGTTTAATTAATGTATTAAAGGGGACCTATCATGCAAAATGCACTTTTTGATGTCTTTTATACATAAAGATGTGTCCCCGGTGTGTCAGGGAACTCACGCAGCGTCAGAAAATAAAACCCTCTCTTTTCCTCTGTACCCACATCTCTAAAAACGGGGGAACAACAGAGCTGATCCAGATTTGCGTCCGATATGACGTAATATCGGCGGCGGACCCACAGCACTATCAGAAACGTTGCTATCAGAAACAATGCCCGACTGTTTTGGACGTAATATGGTCGGTGTTTACATTAGCATCGCTAGCACTCAGAGCTAACCTGTACTGGAGAGCATGTGTGTGAAGAAGCTGGATATAAAAAAGGAACTCACCTTGTGGTATAACCGGCAAGAAAGAAAGCCTTTGAGCTCCATACTGTTTCAGAAATAACCCTTAATCTAATAATCCTTGCGTTTCATCACCGCAGCATTTTAGACAGTATCTGCCAGGTCCCGCATGAGCCGGCATAAGCTCTGCCCCCTCTTATTTTTATTTATTTTCAGTTTAAAAAAAGAAAAAAGCTTTATTTTTTATTTAGCCTTTATTTATACAGGTGAAAATCTCATTGAGACACAGGGTCTCATTCTCAAGAGACCCGTTTATGCCCAGAATCAGCAATTTTGTAACAGGAAGTGAAATAGAGGGATATGAGGCATGGCTAGAATGGGTGATCTGTTTGGTTTTTTGAACAAAACACTTCATAGACATGTTTTTTATATGTTTTTATATATCTGAGACCTATGCTATTGCCTACAGATAGCATGATGGGTGACTTTTAAACTAAATCAGCAGTTTAACTATTCTAGAGGTCTATCCCATAAGAGGAGACATTTTTTATTCTGAATATCTTGTCTTTCCTAGGGTCACATTGTTCTGTTGTCTTACATAATACACTTAGGTAAAACACTTCTTATTGATATTTATTTTCTCTTGGATTTATTTGCATTGCATTTGAAATTGAGGTTATCCAAAATGAACGGAAAGTATTCAGATTACATTCCTTTTATATTGAGATAACATGTTTTTACAGGTAACTAGTTATAACACATACCTGTTTGACAGAGCAGAGGGGGTCTCTAGGACAGCTGCGTTCAGGACTCTTCCCCCCGTCCTCCCCCTGCTCTACACTCCTCCTCTTCCTCTTCCTCCTCCTCCTCTTACTCTGGCTGATGGACTGGAAGGGGGAGACGGAGACGACCATGCGGGGCTCCTGCACCACGTCCAGGTTGTGACCCGACACGTAGATCAGCCGGCCGCCACTAAACAACAGAACACGCTGTCATTACACTGCACACTGCTCTGTCAGCTCATACTGTCCTATTGTGAACCAGGAAATGTTGAGTACCCCAAAGTTAGCATCCGGCATAGAAACGGTCAATTTAGACATAACCAAGTTAAAAAGGCAAGCAAGCCAATAAAGCTCCTTTTTATAGAAACTGCCGGATGCTAACTTTCAAACAGCTCTGAAAAAAATTCAGAGACAACTCCACATTTTTCTTAAATCTTAATCTCTACATGTAAGGCAGCGATTCCATTCGGAGAAATGTTGTCAGTAGTTTATAGAATAATACAAATGTTTAATTTAATCAAACACATTCATGGTTTATTAAATGTACTTCAGAATTCGAAAATCTCATTTATTTACCCCAAAAAATCACTCCCACAAAGTGTTGGGTTTACAACTTACACACACAAGCTCATATAACTTTATCACTGTGATTCTAAAAAGACATGTCAGGCTGAATCTGTGTCTAAAATGATGCACAAGATATCTAGAATATTACTATTGGATGAACTGGTGGATGAACTGGTGCATACTATAAATCAGGGGTCGGCAACCCCTGGCACGCGTGCCAGCATTGGCACGCGGCACCGTAACCAGTGGCACACTAGGATTAAGTGGAATAAGTGTGCAAAATATTTAAATTGTATTTTCGGATCCTGAACGAGACCGCCGCCAGAGCGCGTCTCCCCGTTACCTGCAGAAGGAAGCCATGCACGCAGCGCAGCCCCGCTCTGTTGAACTCCAGGTGACTTTCTGCCGCTTTCCTCCGTGGTGCAGTGCTGATCATTTCACCACGGAGGAAAGCACAAATTGCAGTACCCATAAGGAGCTGTACAAATATCAGTTTTTGCGTGGCTGTGTCTTTAGTTGAAAGCCCAGTGGCGATCTGCTCATCTCTCATTGAAATAATATGCTACAAAGGGGCGGACTGGCAATCTGTGTGTTGAACTTTCCTGTCGGCTCCCAGACCGTAGTCGAGGAGGGCAGAAGCAACAAGCTTCAGGTTCAATAACCCACTTTAGCTTAAATGACTGGAGAGAGGCGAGCTCTTCTTGGGATGCATTTATTTAGCTGTTCTTCTGTTTCACAAAATACATCACAGACCTCTGTTTTTCTGCTGCCTCGTTTCACTTCCAGAAACATACACACGCTCCCTCACTGTCGCTCTACCATCCACACACACACACATGCACACGCCACACCCCTCTCTCTCTCTCTTAAAGGGACAGCGATCTCATCTCACTCTGCATGACCCTAATATCATAACATGTGTGTTCTGGAGAATCACAGAACGGACGATCGTCCTTATTATTATGCCGTTTAAACCAATTATTTAAATGTGTTTGTTAAATTCGGAATTATGTAAGTTGTGCTGACAGGTCCACACACTGCTTCCCCGCAGCGAGGCTCCCCCCACCCTCCTGTTGATAGTTCACCAGCGTCAAGCTCCTCAACACCCCCCCCCCCCCCTTGATCATTTTCGATCGTTGGCACGCTGATAACAATGAATTTTTTTAATGGCACATCATATCAAAAAGGTTGCCGACCCCTGCTATAAATAGTCCAACCAGAGAAACTGATAATGCTGAAGTGGTCTCTTCATTTTTTTCAGAGCTATATGCTGGGCAATTTGCACAATTAGCATAAGTGCGATTAATTCACATTAATTAGCATTATAGCCTATGTTGACAACAGTAACAAAAAAATGGCTTGGCCGATTTGGAAAATGTTGGAGTGGTTTTGGGGGTTATTGAGGATGTTGAATCAATTTCCGAAATGTTCAGGACAAAAAAAATTGCTGTTTTAACCAGAATATGGTGATATGTGTACTCTGTGAGCTGATTTGATTCATTTTGGGTCGATTTTGAAGTTTTAGAGGACGCTGGATCATTTTGATTGGACAGATTGCTTATTTATTTGAAAGAAAATTGTCCGCCATAGAGGTAATCATTTTCATCTTGTAGTTTCTATATCCAATGGTCTCAACACTTCTCATGGTCGTCAATTGTACACTGTGAGCAGCTGATGGTCAGACTCACTCCAGGAAGCTCTTGGCAGGTGAGGCGTGGGTGATGTTGGGGTTGTGGGTGTAGCAGTAGGCGGGGGTGTGGAGGTGGCGCTGGCTGCTGCTGTAGTGCAGGCTGACCCGGTGGTCTCCGGTCTTATCACTGCTGCCCGTCACACACTGAACACTGGAGCTCTGCACCTCCGACACACTGAGGAGGAACACAGGAGAGACACATTCAGAGAGGAGGTGATACCTCACTGACCCCCCCTCCCCGCCCTCAAACGGAGGTCAAAGGTCAGGCAGACAGAGGGAACGATAAACGAGGAGGTCTTTATGGTGACAGAGATAAGAGCAGAAACAGCAGCTTTTACATGGAAGCTACTTTGAATCGAGTGTGTGTGCGTGTGTCCCTTACATCTCGCAGGGCAACCCCCCCACTGTGATGGTGAGGTCAGAAGGACGTCCTGTCAGCAGGTTTCGGCCTGTGATGGTCAGGGATGTCCCTCCAGCTTTGGGCCCCCGTTCAGGAGACACCCCCATCACAAATGGGTCCTGAGAAGGGGGAGAGGGTGGAGGGAGACGACTGTAAGTAGGGCTGCATAATGAATCAAAATATTATCAAAATTCGCGAAAATGGACTGGTGTAAAATCCAATTCACAGTCCACAGTATTTTGGAAGGCAATATATGTGGAAATATCTGAATGAAGTATAGTGATGCTGCAAAGAAGTACCAGCCTACAAACTATTCAACAGGCATCATTTTAATATACATGTATTTTTTATCGCAATGTGAATGCAAGGTCTCACCAGACCTCTACTGATCCACTGTGATGTAACTTAATGCGGTGTACCTGGTAGCTGAAGGTCTGGGGGGAGCGCCCTAACTCTCCTCCGCTCACGGTTACAGACACAGGCCCCACCCTCTCTCCTCCACTGGCTCTGGTCCTGCACACAATCCTGGAGACAGACAGCAGTCCCTGGTCAGACGCTCTTAATAAACATGCATACATGCACCCTGACAATGTTTACTAAAGTCAATCATTCTTTTACAATAACATTTTTCTTGTTTTGTAGCGTTTACTTTAAGAAAATCATTTCTCAATTCTGATGATATCAAGTTAAAGATATGAACATTAAGACCCTCCACCCCCCTGCAGAGGTTGGTGTGTACCTGGAGGAGACCTCGTAGAGGCTGGGGATGACGGTGCAGGAAATCTCTGCGACTGACACAGAGTGCAGGATGTCTTCTGCCTTCTGGCCCAGGTTGGAGCCGGAGATGGTTACCATGGTGCCGCCCTCCAGTAGGCCAGAGAGGGGCTCAATCTGAAGAAGTCATAAAAAAGCTTCATTAAGCTTTCCGGAAGCATGGCATCTCTTAACATTAACGATTCATCTGTACGTGCCCATTCATTCAAGTTTCTAAACTAATGAAGTAAAAGCTCTATAAGATATATGAGTTTCCCACAAACCTTTAATAAAGAATAGTTTATTTGTAATTCTCGTAATGAGAATAGCAATAAATAAATAAATGACAAGGAATTGGTTAAAAGATAATAACTTCATTTACTCACAATGGAAGAATCTAGTAAATACAATTTATGGAATGGAAAAAATAACAACGAGAATCAGAAACTAAGTTAATATCTTTAATGAAAGATGGAAAAATGTCTGTTATAGAACACAAAACATTTATAATGACCAGGTGGTAAGATGTGACAATTCATGTACTTATGAGTAATATATTAATGTTGTATCCATTATGTGTAAGCTATACCTTTTTGATCAATTTGTGTGGTTTCTTTCCTCTCTTTTCCTGATTTGTCGATTGTTATGTAGTTATTTTATGTAAGTGTTTCTTCTGTTGTGTATGCCTTGTAATCAAATACATTTTTTTAATGCAAAAACATTAAGAACAGTGAGGTCAAGGGTCAGTACTCACCGAGTGGATGACGGGGGCGGGGCACGTCTGCTGCACGGGTTCACTGCAGGACTGTGAATACAAGCAGCTGGCCTGAGCCCCCCCACACCACACACAGCCGTACTTATGGTCTGCGGTGTGGCAGTGGCTGCAGTCAGAGCGGCCCACCGAGCAGTTGTACAGAGTCACTGAGAGACAGAGCACAGGCAGGTCAGGGGGGGGGGGGGGGGTGTGTGTGTGTGAGTGTGAGTGTGAGTGTGAGTGTGAGTGTGAGTGTGAGTGTGAGTGTGAGTGTGTGTGTGTGTGTGTGTGTGTGTGTGTGTGTGTGTGTGTGTGTGTGTGTGTGTGTGTGTGAGACAGAGGAAAATAGATATTGAGTGTAACACATTAGAACCTGAACTCACCATACAGATCAGGAGAGCTGTCCACATGGAAGGTGTCCCTCCTCTTCACATACACCATGGCATTGTATTCCTCCACCGGAGCAGAATATGTGTACTGGACAAACAACGGTTTCATTTCAAACACACTGTGACTAAGTATACACAGTTTAATCCTGCCTAAAACATCATGAGTCTATCATCATAAATGACATGTACTTGATCAAAGCCTTACACCTGTGTTTGTGATGAACATATTGGATTTATTTTAAAAAACTACCTACAACATTTTTCTCTAATTCTAAATAAAGATACTGTAAATTAGATGTTTTATTTACACAAAATGAGAACAGGTTAGAGTAACAACCTATGCAGGTGTTTCAGACATCATATAATGCTAATGGCATCCTCTCACACATTGCTGCATATTTGTTGTTATTTTGACCAGTTTTCATTTTCTGCATTCTCTAAATGACAACATTTCAATTTGGTTGAAATGTCGTCAGTAGCTTACAGAAGGAAACACAAAAGTTAATTTCATTCAAGCACATGCCTATAAATATTAAAACCAGATAAACTGATCTGTTTGCAGTGGTCCCGAGCTTTTTATACACATGGTCTTATAAAGCGTGAGTACAGATGTGCAGACCTGGTGCAGTTGACAGGTGATGTCAAAGTTGGATGGATTCATGTCATCAGTTTCTACGTAGGCGTCCACCACCACCGTCTGCCCCTCGATGACCAACACACACTCATAGTCCAGGTCTGCATCCTGAACACACACACACACACACACAAAGACTGTTTAGTGACAGCATCCACAGAGTCATCGCTTACATGAGTTGAGGCTGAGAGAGACAGAGAGTGTATGTGTGCGTGTGCGTGTGTGTTTGTGTGTACCTGGTAGAGGTGCAGGTTGCGTGCCAGTAAGGTGATTTTCCTCTCCACTCTGACAGGGAGCAGCGCTGAACCCTGGACCTTCTCCACACAGGGACACGCTGAGGACCCCCAGCTGACGTAGGAGCCTTCGTCCCCCTGTTGCCCAAAACACACACAAAAATACACACAGAAACACACAGACACTCATTATGAGCTAGTGAGGTAGCACAGTGATGCTGCAGATCAGACAAACCATTAACTGTTCATTTCTGATATTTATGTAATATTGTAGTAACAGTGCACTGGCCTAAAGAAAAGCTCCACTGATGTTATACATCACTCTGTATCCCGGAGTTTTGGAGTTATACTGCACATGTGATAAAGAAGTATAAAGGCTTTAGTATCTCCAGAGGGAGCTGTGATGTGACTTGAGTCAGTGCCGTCTGGGTTTGTAGTTTGAACAGTTAAAAGTGAGCTAACAGACATCTGTAGTCTGCACATTTTTGCTGCAAGAAACATGAACAGAACACACCTGAATCCAGAGGGTCCAGATGCAGTCTGCAAACTCCCCACATTACTTTGCAACAACCTCCCCCCTAAGATGTTTCTCAACTCTGAATGAGATACTGTGTGTCCACAGATAAGTGATAGGAGAGCAATGTTTAATCATTTCATTTCTTAAATATTCCTAGACATGGAGGGTTTGTTTTTATCCTCTTTCCTTACACTGAGCCATGTTGGTAAATATTGTGTTAATGTTAACATATTCCATTCACTGCAAAAACACACAGCAGAAAACGTTCAAAGTCAGTTTGTAAAACTAATACTGATCTGTAAATGTAAAAAGCATGAAAAAAGGAAATGAATGGCTAACAAAAACAGCTGCAGCAGATCACACTGGGGCAGCTGTCTTGTATTCCATAGGATCAGTATAAAAAGCAAAAGGAAACAGAGCCAGGTGTCAGACAGAGGAAGAACAGGAGGGTTTGAGCTGTGATCCTGTCGGTGGAACCGGGAGCCCTGCCAGGCTCCTGGAGATTTGACAGGAAGTAGAAGAAGAAGAAGTAGGAGGCTGGCGGCTGAACTCACCGGGAGGAAGGCGTCAGCTGGATCATACTGGTAGTCCAGCTCTGAGTCAGTATCCAACAGGTGGGGGTAGGACGGGGGGGGCGTGGTCTACCTCACCGTCACCTGAAAGCACGGTGGCAGCAGAAAATGTTGCCGTGTCGTTTTCTGACAGTGCAGTGCTCTCAGTGTGGACGTCCTCTTCTTCTATGGGATCGAGGAGAACCTCAGGGTCGCTGCCTGGGCCCCCTGCCTGAGTGCTGGAGTCCTGCGTGGGCATCAGAGTAGTGGTCTGGCTCAGGTCAGGAGGGGGCTCTGAGTCGTTGGGGTCACCCACAGAGAAAGGTGTTGGCAGGGGGAAGCCAGACGAGGCAGGGGTGGGGGGCTCGGCCAGGCTCAAAGCTCCCTCGGCTTCCTGAGTGCCGCTGTGGGGAGACCCCGTCATCACCTCCAGGGGGGTGGAATCCTCCTCATATGGGGGGAGGATCAAAGGCACCGCAGGGTCCAGGTCTTCCTCGACACCGTCAGCAATGGTGACTGGCACCAACTGCGTGGCTGCCACGGCGACACTGGGTGTGACACTTTGGGAGACAACAAAAAGCTCCTCCTGCTGGTGGGTAGTGAGCTCTGGGGGGGGCGGGTGTAGTGGGGGGGGGCGGGTGTAGTGGGTGGAGCCGTGGTAGAGGGGAGGGTGCTGACAGGCAGAGGTGGGGTGGTAGGGGGGGGTGGTTGGCTCAATCCTGGTGGTGGTTGCAGGTGGAGTCGTGGGTGCAGGGGGGGTGGTTGGCTCCTGAGTGGTTGCTACGGTGACGGGGGCGGCGGTTGTCGTTGTAGTAGCAATAGTTGTTGTTGTTAGGATGGTGGTGGTTGTCATGGCAGCGGTTGTGCTAGTTGTGATGACTTTTATCGGTTTGATAGTGGGAGGAGCTGAGGTGGGGAGTTTGAACTGGGAGGGGGGAGGGGGGAGGAGGGGGAGACATGAGGAGAGGGTGAGACAGTAAAATAAAAGTAATGGGCTCAGGGAAATGGAAATAACCAATGAGTGAACTTAAACATGACGATAAACACAAGCTGCTGTTATTGTGTTATTGGTGCTAATGACACAGCATGGTGTGTATGTTTGGAGGAAGCTGGGACTGTAGCTGTTGTGCATATGACATAAAGCCTTTGAATCTTTGAAAAATAATGAGGCTTTTAATGGCTTATGAGGTACAACAAAACATGTATGGGCGCTGGGGAATGCAAGCATCATATCAGAATAGGAAAATGTACCAAACATGTTCTTATGCATCCAAATGCTCAGAACAAAACACTCAAGTGGTTTTAGTTTAATAACTGAACAGACACTGAAGCGGTTTATGTTTGCTTTGTGTTAGATCTGAAATGAGTGACCGTTATGTGAAGCTGTTGAATGAAGAGAAGAATATGTGCACTAAATAAATAAATAAATGTGTATCATATGCTCCAAGACTCCTTAGCTAATGGCTCATTTCTCAGCAGGGGGCAGCAATGCATCAGACAATTTGCAAACCCCCCCTTTTGCTTGTGTGCAATCAACTTACAGCTTCTTCTACAAAGATATGAACACTATGCAGGCTGTGTCTGTACGGAGCTCAGAGTGCACTCTGCATCAGATATTTATTGTTAAATGAACTTACATGTTGGTTGTAGATGATCACACCCTCCTCACAGGTGGGCTTGTGGGTGCACAGGTGCTGGTGAACGCACCAGTTACATCCCCACCGGCTCAAAACACAGCCCCGGCATCTGCACACACAATAACAGCTGGTTAGATAAGAGGCAGGAAACGATAGACTGTCAAAGGTTGATGCTGCAAGGTGACAACACGTAAAAGGGGGCCGGGGGGGTCAATGAAGAGTGAGAAGATCAGGTTTAATATACGTAATGTGGGATTTTATCTACAAGATAGAAGAGGTGGAGAACAAAGGTATAGAGATACTAACAGGCATTTCACACACTGATGTTTAGAGGCCATTTTCTCAACGGCTCTTCACTCTGTTAATGGACGTTTATTCTGAATGATCCTCCGCAGCAGAGGAGCCAGAAAAACTGCAACAGTCCTTTAATTGATATCTGACGGTAATTTATGACAAGCACCAGTGCGAGTGAATTCTAGCTACATTACCATTATTTAAAGTAAAAGTCACCTAAGGCCAATAATCAGTGGCGTCTTCCGAGAACAACTTGTACGAACACATTTGTTCTTAAATGACACGTAAAAGTGACATGAGAGAATTTACGGCTTTCACCAGTTTTCTGGCACTGAATTTTCTCTCAGAAATGAATGGAATTCTTGAGCAGTCCAGACCTGTCAGTACAGTGCCCCTCTTCTCTGGGGAAGAGGACTCCTTGTGACTGTTTGAGAATCACAGGCCCTGCATTCACACCCTGGAGGACAACTTCTATACTGAACTGTGAAATCAAATGAGTCTTTTATAGCACTCAGTAAATGGACATGCCATGATGCTGATGATATGATTAACAGAATACAACTGTGTGTAAACTTATATGAATATAGTATAGCTATATACCGTATAGTTATATGACAAGCCAGTGAGAAGCTGAGCAGACAGCATCACTCTGTGAGGAAACTTTCAGGAGTATATATAACTTAGTAACTACAGCAATATGACTGTATACAGTTATTCTGTCACCATATCATCATCATCATCATCATCATCATGGCTCGGCACAGAGGTTCACTGTAGGCTGCAGTCCAGTGGACAGAATGTTCTGGTCTTTATGCAGATCTCTCTCCACATCGAGTGTCGGATGGATCATTTGCATGAATGAATTCCTCTTCACTCGTCATGTCTCACATGTACATCACCACATACACAGTGATTGTATTTCCTGCATAAAAACCCATCCTAGTATTAGAGGCAAGTTTTAAAACACATTATATTATGATAACTGTGTCTGACATTGCACCCCTCCCCTGGGCCCCTCATGGTCTTCCTCATAAGCCTCCCACTGACACACAGGCAGCTATAAAACATTATATCATACAGCTATTATACAGCGTCCGGGGAGCAGTGTTGGGGTTTGGTGGCTTGCGAGGCCCAGTAGATGAAGACACACATTGTACTGAGGACTTGAAGGCAACCCTCTGGTGCCCAAGCCAAGTCCCTACTGAACAGCTGCCATCCCATCCACACTGTTGCATATGACTGAATCAGCTGTTAATGTGTAACATTATCACGTCCATCTCTGTGACGGTCACATCATGTCCTGAGACTTTGGCAGCTGTATTAATATCTTCTAATATCAAACAGCTAACTAAGTGACGGTGTTCTAGGTTGATGTCATGCTGACACAGAGTGGGACAGGTAGCCTTACACAGCAATTCATGGGAGTCGGTGCTCACGGTCAAATCTGACCTACTCAACAGCCTGAAACTGCAGGTTTTTGCAGAAAAGAGGTTTGGTGAATTTACACTTAGAACGCATATATATATATATAAATATATAAAAAGCATGGAGCCTAATGTCTTTTACTTCTTTTATGATGGAGGTCTATCCTGAACAAAGCCAGCAGTATGGTATTAGCCCAGTGAGCGGAGCAGATGAAGAGGGGAAGGACTCTGGAGTCAGAGGACTGCAGCCTTCATAGGCACGCTATGATGAGATATTTCATTTAGGATACATTGGCACGAAAGCAGCCAGGGTGTGTATGAAAGGGTTCAACATATTAGAACCAGGTGGGCAGTGGAGAAGAAATGGAAAACAGACGTGAGACAGATGGGTTGATGGACAGAATAAACAGGGTACAGCATGGGGCCTCGGACAGAGAGAGACTGGAGCACAGAGGTAGAGAGATCACGGAGACTCACGGCATGCTGCCAGACAGCTGCTTCACAGCCGTACAGTCGTAGAAGGTGAAATCCCTCGATGTGACCGTGACGTCGCCGAAGCGAAGAGACAGAGGGACGGTGACGAAGTCTGCAGAGAACCAAACACAGAGAGGAAGACGGCATGAGGAAGAGCTGGAAACAACACAGAGCAACATGGAGCTTCACCTCAGCCAATGGGGCTCGGGAAATATTTGGCCAATTTAACATCTCTGATTCAGAAAGTCCCAGATAAGCACGATGTTTCTGTAACACGGGGGAGAAGGTGGGAGAAGGACCGGCCTAATAGAAGCCATGTGCAGCACACAGAAGCATGGATGCATGATGGAATAGTGAATGTAGGTCTTGTTTTCATAGTTACAATAATATTGCGCTCCTTGATTACATTTCTGAGGTCATGGAACAGGAAAACATTACGATATTAAACAGTCAGGTGATCAGACAGAACAGCAGTAATCCAGATAATGTCAATTCAATTATGAGATAAAACTATAAATACACCCAAACTGTTGGCAACAGTTCCTCATCCACAAGTGTAGGAAGAGAAAGTGGAAGCAGGAAGTTGTTTTTTTAAACTAAGATTATTGTTTACAACAGTTTGGGTCATTTTACAATTAGCATCTTACAAATAAGATCATTTAAATTCAAACTAACCTGTCTGTATGCTTGTGTTTCTCAGAGGCGTGCTTACAGCATGGTGATTTCGGTTATTGGCAATAATATGAATGATGACTCAAAGTACAGAAATAAGAAGCTGTATGAAAAGAGAAAATGTACACATGCCAGACACAACATACAGTAGCCCAGTGCTCCTGTTGCTGCTTAACACACTTTTAATTGAATTTTAATATTACAGCCATGTGGTCCTTTTCATTATAGAAACATTGATGAGTGCATTTTTAATCTTCCAGCCCGTTGTATCCTGTGGATGGAGGAAAGCCCCCGCTGAAGAGAATTTGGATGATCTAATAATGTTAGTGAGATTGCTTCATAGCAACCATAATCTGAGATTTTGACCCACAGCAATATCGGGCCTATTTACGGACACTTGAAAGTGAAGGGACATGGATAATGTATTCTTTTCGATAAGCAATTTTGTATTTTTCTATAGTTTATGAACCTGACAAATGGATATACTGTATGTTAATGTGCAATAGCATGTCAAGTTATGGTTACAGTGAGTACAGCTCACACAGAGGGCAGCACAGGGGTCCTATTGGTGAATTGCAGAAGAGGTAAAGGCATCATGTAGTAGACCGAGCCCACAGTGTGCAGACACGTAGCAGAGATATGCTTGTGTTCCTGTATTTTTAGAACAGAGCAAAGTTAAAGCAATGTATCTTTAACTTATGCACGCCTGGAAGCCGCGTTTGTTTCCAGGTGTGCAACAATGTTTTGCCTATTTAAAAGTGTTTAAAACATTTGCTGCTAGAGGATGAGGATCCAGTCCAAAACATTTAGAACTTGTGAGAGAGAAACATCAGCAGCGAGGTGAGAGTCTGGTCTTCATCTGTAGAGGAAGTGCTTCCTTTACAGGGCGTCAGTCCTTTTCTTTCCCAGTGAGCGCTGGTACTAACTCTCTGAAGTTAAGGTAAGCCACAGCTAGATCCTTAAATTCAGCCTGTGTGTCCATATCTCAGTACACCCCCCCCGGGCTGATTCTCCCTGAGCCCCGCACCCTGAGAACCACAACAAGCTGCGAGTTTCAGGAATGCAGGCATGGGAACCAGCGTCTGGGGGGGTGTGTGTGTGTGTGTGTGTGTGTGTGTGTGTGTGTGTGTGTGTCCTGTGAATGTTGGGGTGATTGTGACCTCTGTAGAGACTTCAATTGTTATTTACAAGCCCCTAAATCTTCTTTAATCATTGCCGCTGACTTACTAGAACAGACAGCACACTAAACAATCTCTGAAACTTAGGAAAACTAAATCACATATGAAAGCATAAAGGATGAATTAGATTTATGGGGACTTGTACGCTTTAAAGTACACACTCCCTGCTGTGTAAGCTGGTTTAGGAAAAAATGGATTGGGTTAACCTAGATTCATGGACACTGAGATTGAATTTATACGCGTACGGTATGTCTGTGCATGCCAACACACACGCAGAGATTTATCTCATTACAGGAAAAACCCTTCAGTCGCAAAGGTGAAAAGTTTGAAAAAGCAGTAATTAAACTGCAGCTTGATCTTCTCCGTTCCAGAAACAACAACAGTCAGGGTTGGAGTCACTCACCCTGTCCTGGGGGGACCCTGGGCACCCGGCCTCTGTCAGGAGAATGGCAGGTGGCTCCGCCCTCAGTGACGGAGGCAGGGCTGTGGCTGTCCTGGAAGAAGCAGGCGTAGCTCTCTCCTTTCTCCAACACCGGGAGTCCTGTGACGGACACTGACACCTGCAGAGACAAACAGCCACTTCAGGAACAGATACTATAAGGCCGATGAGGCCTAAAAACCCAACCCTAACTGTAGGAGCCAAAATGCTTGTTTTGCCATTGCTTATTACTTCTATTATTATCTTCATTTCTGTTTGCATCACGTTTAATTCTTATTGTTTATCACTTCCGGCAATGGTCACGTGGGTGTGGTTTATTGGTATCTAGGTCACCTGTTGGATGCCCGTTTGGAGGATATGATGTAAGAAGAGGGTGAATGGCGCTTTGATACTCTCTGTTGACCGTCCGGTCTGGAGTTCTATATTGTTTGTAGGCCTGTCGCGATAAGCAATTAATTGACTTATCGTACGATATATAAAAATGAACTAGATAACTTTTCTGACCTCGATAAATTGCCGTTTACAGTATTGAGTACAATTTTTCTCTGGTGTCGGAATGTCTCGCGATGTTGGTACATTCTTAAAAAACAAAACACCATTTCATTTCGGGTTAAAATGTGTTGTAACTGCGTTACTGAGAATTGTAACGGGTAATATACTACCCATATTTCATTAGTAATGCGTTACATTACTTTGTTACAGCAAAAAGTAATATATTACTGTAACTCCGTTACTTTTGTAACGCGTTACACCGAACACTGCAAATGACTACGGACTACGCGTCACAGCAAAGAGCACATTTGAGCCTCTCAGCGGCATAACTCATAGGGAGTTTGTGCTGCTCCACTAACAATATATGCATCTTTCCATGACTTTTCAAAGTGCCATTCTCAATGACCATTTCTTAAGTAACAGAAAAGGAATGGGGGGGTCAACACATCTCTAACACTGGCTGGTGTCTGGCTCTAAGTTCAGGGAGAGCTTGATTTGTGCGCAGAGCATGCAGTTTAAATGCCTTTTTGTAAAGACCTGGTCCACTTGTGATGTCGATAGGCAGTGGCTGTGTGTGTCAGTGAGAGTGAGAGGGAGAGAAAGCCATAGAAGGGCAAGACAAGTATAAAGCTCAACTTCTGGCTGAGGCTGGCTGCGTACAAAAGATTACACTATTACAACAATTTGTACTGGATATTTACGATATAGGATTGGAGACATCCTCCGTAAAGCAAGCGGCAATACTTTGAATAGATGAAATACATCGCCCAGCCGTATCATGTGGTAGACACCAAAGGTCTCAGTCAGATCCATGTATGCACTGTTTAAGAACCTCATGATTATCAAGTGTGCTCTCAGATCAGATATCTAGAGTTTCTTTCTGGCCTTTACCCGTGTTGTTTGACATGACATCACAAGATCTGGGGACAGCAATGGTCTAGCAGCAGACTGGTAGACATACAGAACAACATTCCCAACTGCAACAGGCTGTTATGATGAGACAGGAATCTCTGCATTACTGAGTCTTCTTCATCTATCAATCACCTAATTGTTTACTTATTTCCCCCCCAATGAATCATCTTGTCCGTAAAACCTCAGGAAATGATGAGAAATGCCCATCATTATTTCCTGAAGCCCAAAGTGATGTCATCAAATTGCATGTTTTGCCCACAAGTCTCCCCTAGGGGAAAGGTGACTGGTAATTACAGGCAATTTGGTGCAAATATCATGCATTAATTTAGCCTATTCTTGAAGTAGTTTATATTTTTGCATGCTATGGACTTGAAATTGCATAAATTAGGTATGACCGTTATGCTGCAATGAGTCGGTTTGAATTTGTTTGTGAGTGTCAGTCCCCAAAGCAGCCATTTATTGTAGTGATACCAGGGAAAGGGTTTGGCTGCCTGAGATCACAGCATGGGGTTTTAGATGGTGTTCTTTAAGGTCTTGGGGTCATATGTGGTATACAAATCTCACAGCCGCCGAGACAAATACAATGTTATTTACAAATGTATAACACAAAATAAATCTCTGTGCTCCCAGCTTTCAGATTCTGAACACCACTTCCATAGTACATACACTGCTGACCTGCAGTATTCTCCTAAGATCCCCTACCCTTCCATTCAAAAACACTACAATAGGTTCAAGGGTATCTAAAACTCAATACTTATATAATGTATTTGATGTTTAGTCCATAAATATGACAATTTATTTTTAGTATGGGGCACTTCTTTGCTGAATCTGGCTCCCTCATTAGTCTGAATTAACAAATCTCTTATATTTGTTACTAAAGCAGGGTCAAGATTTCTTTGTACCAACTTCCAGAAGCTGCAACGTTAACTGCAGGACTTACATTTGGCATAAAACCCAAACATGAAGCCTATTGAGTTTTCTGTTTATACTGTATTTACACTTCCAGGGAAAGATGTGATCCCATCTGCTGTCATTTACACCCACACAGAGTATTCATACTGAAAGTGGAAATGTTCTCTAGTAGTCTCTCCCATGATGGAACACTGTGTGTATTGTATATATTTTTGCCTCTGCTGTTATCCAAAGGCACCATCTTTCACAAACATGACTGATATTCGGCTTGTCTCCAACAGCGGGACATGACAGGACAGAGCTCTGATCACTATCTGCTCCTGATGCCCTGACACCTAACAAAGTCATGCACGCACACACACACACACACACACACACACACACACACACACACACACACACACACACACACACACACACACACACACACACACACACACACACACACACACACACACACACACACACACACACACACACACACAATAAGGAACGGTTGGAGGAGTTATGGGGCAGTGATTCATAGGCCCAATCCAAACCGCCCCTACATACTTCCAGTCCGTTGGCGTGTTCGCGTGGAGGATCCGCCACATTAAGAGCCCTTCCGATCCAACAAGTGTTGAGTAGGAGTGGGTTATCAAGCCCTCCGACAGCGAGTCTGCATCGGCCCTGGCTTCACAAAATATGTGCTTCCTCCCTGAACACCTGTGTCAGGATGTGTACAGATGGGGTGAACTATAACACTGGATCTGCTCCTCTGCTGTATCAGACTCACCGTCCTGCTCTCCTCCCGGCTGATGTTGGAGGGGTGGAGCTCCTGCACCGCCAGACACTGCTGCTCCATGTCGAAGCTCCACAGCCACTGACCCGGCTGCTGCCCCCGAGAGCACTGCGCCTGCAACACACACCTGCAGGGAGAACACACCACATCTGTGAGCAGGCTCTCCATCTGTCTCTCACACTCTATTAAATGCCAATAAAGTCAACTTGAAGCATGAAATCCATAAATCCTACAGTGATTGTACAACTGCACACCAACCGGATTGTTCACATGTTTTTCTAAATAGTTAGGATTTTCTAGTTTCCACTACTTAAACTATTTACGTAAGGAAGGTGTACAAAAATGAACGGAAAATATATACTGTGTGTACAGGCTGTGTTGAAGGCAAACAGAAATTGAAAGGATGAAAGGAGAGTAAACACATCCAGGTGGGGAGGCAGGAGGAGGAGGCCAGGTGTGGAGGCAGATGTGCAAACACACTCCCAGCAGAGCACACACACCTCTCCTTTAGGGCGACTTGGCAAAACACCACAACGGCAGCTTCACCTCATGTCAACACAGAACTTTGGATTTCAGTGATATTCTTTGAACTAGCTGTGAGAGAATACATATTACTGACAGTAAACATCACACAGCAACACAAGGAGCTCATTTGGACTTGATTTTGCATTTTAGAATTCTTGATAAAACACATCACAAAAACAAAAAGGTAATTCTGCTTAAAATAAAACTTTGAAGTCAAGATAAGAGTGTAAATAAAGCACAAAAAACTAGAAAAAACATTCTTTCTCTTGAATTATAATTCAAAAATAATTATTAACAATGATGCATTAACTTATTTGAATACATCTTGCTAGACTTGAAGTTGCTAATGCTAGGTACTGTTAGCAAACCGTAGACATATATACCTCACTGCGGCTGAGTTTGCCACAACAGCCAAACCACTATTGTTTTTAAAGTGTGTGTGTGTCATTCTCTGTGTGTCTGTGGGCAGGTTGCTTTCACCAGCATAGCGAATGTTGATTTAGAAAATGGCTGTGGTCTGAGCAACCAAGAGGTCATTTAAACGAGACTGAAACAAAACAAAAGTCAGAAAGGACAGTAAGCAGCAAATCTTTCATATTCCATCAGTGTCCACTCACTGATGTGTGTTTTAATTGTTATTCGAGTCATTTATATTTGTATCTATATATTTTATGCACGTAAATGTCCCCTCTGTGTGACGTATCAAGGTATTCGGGCTCAGTCAGCCTGTAAAAGTATTCTTGTGTGTAAATCCAATGAGCTACTTTTTTTTTTCTTTTTTTTTTTTATTAGGTGGAGTATTTTACACCTTATACTTGAGTTCTAACTGCATGTCTTTTCAGCCATGCTTTATAGCACCGAATTAGGACATAAATAGGCGCGTTCACACCGGAGTACTTTTCCCGTTTAATTTTAATTTAGTGCCTGGAATTTTGCGTTCAAAAGAGTACTTAGTTCCGAGAACTTTTACCCCCATTAGCCGCGTTCACACCGGAGTACTTTTCACCGTACTTTTCACGTTTAGTTCCGTTAGTACCCCTTATGTCGCGTTCACACCAAAAAGAGCACTTAATAACTTTTACCCCCATTTTTAGTGCCTGCTGAGAGATGGTACTTTCCTGGGGGAAAAAAGTGCCCCAGTTCTGATTGGCTGGGCGAATTGCAAACCACGCCCCGTACAACTCTGAAATGTTTTGTAGAGCCGCCATTTTATTATCCTTGCATTAGCATTATTAGCATTAGCATTCGCCCAGCGCACCAACGCAGAGAGACTAACTTATGGCAACACAAAAAAAAACATGGGAGCGGTGGAGATGAGGAGGTGTCGGCGTTCTGGCGATTTACTCGGAAGGCTTCAGTAGAAGCTGCTGAAGCCGGGGACTTCCGGCCGGGGGACTTCGGGTGGCAGTATACACCGTGAAGTTGTTTGCGGCCTGCCAGTAAACCCAAAGCAGAAGAAGAAGAAGTGACGTCAGCGGCTTCATTTGCGTAATCTTCCCTCAGGGAACTTATTCCGGTGTGAACGCGATCGGCTCTTAGTTCCATGGGGGTACTAAGTGCTGGGAACTAAGTGCTGGGAACAAAGTACTTGGTGTGAAAGCGGCTAAGGTAGTTTGTGGTTGCTCTCACCTGCCCTCCAGGACACACCAGCCGCAGTAGGGGTCGTGGGCCAGCAGGCAGGAGTGGCAGTCTGGGTGCTGCTGGCATTCAGCCACGGGCCTCTTCTGCAGCTGGAAGCAGGACAACAAGCATGTTCAGTCGGGCAAAGCGTGCTCACTAAGCTCCCAGAAATCTGATTAAAAAGAATAGGTGGCCCACTTTTTCCACTGGAACAATGCAAAATGGAAATATGGTCATTAGACTAATCCTAACTACAGGCTGCTACTGGAAGAATAATTGGGGCAGAAACAGAAAAACAAATTCCTTCTCTTCAGCTTTGTAACGGCAATACAGAAAGGTCACATCTAGAATTCAAAACAGGAATGAAACTACAAGACTGCAACTACTGTAATGATGAAGTACCATGTTTTGAGTCATGATGAAGAGATGTTCCTCTTTCTGGTCCAGGATCAGGTCTGCCCCGATGGCTGTGTTCGGCTGAATGGAGATGACTGAAAACTCCTCCACTTCTCCGTTCGGGCCCAGAAACACCTGAGGAAAAGTACACATACACACCAAGGTTCAGACTATGTCATGATACATAAGACCGCTGAGTAAACATTTGCACTAAGCTGAAACTCAAATGCCTTTTGTCATGGCATCATTTCAAACAAAAACATAATAATAGAAAGCTTATTTATTTTTCCTCCTTGCCATCTTCAACACCTTGATATCACATTTGAAAGGACATTAACGGGGGGCGGCAGTAGCTCAGTCTGTAGGGACTTTGCCTGGGAACCAAAGGGAACTGCCCAGGTGTCATTAAGCAAGGCACCGAACTCCAAACTGCTCTCCGGCGTCAGAACACCGGCAGCCCTTTTGCTCTGCCACCTCTTCCTTAGTACTTCAGGGATGTGTAATTGTCAAATAGCAGCAGAGTGAAAACCTGAATTTCCCCTTGGGGATGGTTAAAGGGGATCTTAGTAAACACACATCTTAAGTAGGCTATAGTAAGAATTGTACTTGATCATGCTATGTGTTGAGTGTGAAAGGCTTAACAAATCCATCTCTATCGCAGCTGAGGAACAGTGTGTGATATCTAAAGAAACAAGCTAATAAGTAGATGTTGAGTTAGATGTTGTTATGGCATAAGTATAACCAGTTCAATCTGAGAAAAACAGAACTCAACAGAACTCATTCAGTACTCCACTGATGTAGCACTGCACTCATTTGTATATAGCTGTGTCATATGTAAATAATGTTAATTTGTTATAATAGTCTTAAAATTGTTTTTTAAAATAGCTGTCCTGGTTTTATTGTATTTGGTGTTGCTACGTATTCTTCCTTTTGTGTCTTTGTAAGCACCAAATACAGTATACCAAAGCAAATTGTAAACCTACTTTGGCATGTTTAAAGTGTTCATGTTCACACAATGGAAAGTAAAACAAAAAAAAAGGATCCAAATTGATGCAGGAGAACCAGAGAGAATTCTTCTTCTTTGCCAATAGCAGCTAGTGTAGCCTGGAGCTGCTAGCTACAGAAAGATCAGCAGCGAGCCAACTCAACATGTTTTTACTTTTCATACCTGTAGTTAATACTGAGTCAAGTGGTATAACTCTGAAGATACCAACGCCTTTACAAAACTTAACACATACGTACAGTTTAACTCCACGATTACTGTTAACATACTTTGATGTATACAATGAATGGAACACTCCATAACATAAAGAAACATTCAGATTATTGTTCCCCCAAAAAAAAAGGGTTCTTTTTTTCATCAACCACAAAACAAACTAGAAATGGAAGTGATGAAAGAAATATAACCAGATAAGAGGTCCTGCACGACAGGATGTTCAGACAAAGGTTGCACCAGAGGTCAGATGGTCAGAGCCAGTACACAACAGACAGCGTCAGTGAGCAGTCTGACTGGCTGTTGGACATTAAATGCTTGTTGCTGCACAAACCCCACCTTCTTCCACCATGACACACTGAGCTGACCTCAACAAACATCATGAGATGGAGTCCTAGCTGCTCAGCACTGCATCTTAAAACAATAGTTTTCAGACATTAGAAGGACCCTAAAAACATATTGGCTCCGCAGCTTAACTTAGTTTATCACAGCTCATCCTTCCTACAGTCAAAACATTTTTTTAAATATTTGTTTTAACCCGCAGACATGTCTAAGAAATACTTCCCACTCCCATCTGTAAGTAAAAAAAAACAAACCTTTGGCTGACTGTAGACTGAACATGACAAACAGTTCCCATGATTTCAAAAAAGGCTAGGTATTAAATAAACAAAAAACAATGATCCATTTGGCTCTTATCATTTAAATGTGGTTGCATACACCTTCCCATTTATACTCCTATTTTTTGGCCACAGTCAGGGGAAGGCCCTCTGGCCTGATCCCAGGTCTGTTAGCGGCACAGTAACGCTTCACGCTTGGCTGTACTGTTTCCACATATCTTGTGTGAATGTCAACAAAGCTTTGGAATGCAGATACAGATGGCAGATAAGAACTAGAAGAAGATGTTAGGTTTATTTGCCACTTGAGGAAACACTGGACGCTGACCTGACAGAAGAGCCGACAGCAAGCTCTGTGATTTATTGTGAGAATGAGACGGCACACAAAGTGTAATCCAGAGAGGAGCTGCTGTAATCAGCGGGGAAATAAACTGCTGAGTGAGTCTCCAACAACAACAACAAGCACAGAGTACATTTAATACTCAAATACAGGGAAACAATGGCCCCTGTACTCCCTTTATGTGCACTCGGGTACACATCGTGTAGAATCCAACTGTGCCAAAACACGAAAGTGGACTGTTTCTAACTCAAGTAGCATTTTTCAACATCACTGCTCTTCTAAAGAATCTGCATCAGTGGCAAGCACGCTAATCTCATCCTCTGAACTCTATGGCTATGGATCATTATTTTTCTTTAAATAAAGACAATTATCCTTCTCTCGGAACTCAACATTATACAAGATTTCAACGCGGACATATTTGAATATCAATGTATACGTTTTCTATAGTTTATTTTTGTGTCACTTTGATTATAACAACCACTAGAGGGCATATGCTGACTGTGAAAGAAGAAAAGAAAGAAAGAAAGAAAGAGAGAAAGAAAGAGAGAAAGAGAGAAAGAAGGAGAGAAAGAAAGAGAGAAAGAAGGAGAGAAAGAAAGAGAGAAAGAAGGAGAGAAAGAAAGAGAGAAAGAAAGAAAGATCTTTTTACACATAGAGAACATGAGGTGATGAGTTAGGGAGCTAACAAAGTTTGAATTGACAGTTCCTCTGAGGAGGACACACTGACAAAGGTTCCATTAATGACGGTGACATGGACACGCACACTGTGTGCTGCCATGACCCATAGCTCTGCATCATTCTCAATGAGTCTCTGTGTGAGGAAGTGCATGCGTCTGCCAGTCAGCGATGACAGTGCACATCGCAAGTACGGAGCTCCGTGCTCTGGCTTGGTGTTAGGCTGCCTCTGTGACGTATCTGTGTAGAAATACATTAATGGCCATCATTGTGCTATTTCTGCATGTGCAGGAGGCCTCTACCACAGGCCACCATTGACAAAAAATGACACAAAGAGCAGACTGTGTGGAGGTGAGCTCTCAGTAAACTCCTCATTTCAAGGGGCCGACCCCGACTCACCACTTAGTCCAGGAGCTAATAATCTAAGTATATATATAGAAACAAGCACAACTCCTGTGTGCTTCCCAACTGTTACAGATGCTCAGCTTCTATTCTCAACATATATGTCTGTTCTCTCTTTGATTGGCTCTGATTTCCTTCTAGAGCAGGACATTCCTCGTCTCCTTCACTGAGACTCCCTCTGACCCCGCAGAGACACGGCCGTGCATGACCCCCCCCCCCCCCGACAGCCATGTTGAGGACGATGTCATTTCAGAGGAGCTTCACATGATCCAGCCACAGAGGGGACGCTCCCAGGCTGTCCACCATGAGGGACAGACAGTACTGTTCAGCATGGGGCCAAGAGGGACGCCCTATAGAACAGGGTCAGCTTCTGTTACACAGGGAGAAGTTACAATTTACTACTTCCTGTATTCCATAACGCCACTAAACCACAAAAAAGCAATATTGTCCACTCTCACTTCCATAATCGCGGTTGGTGTCAACCAAAATCTAATTTGATAGACTTTAAAAAGACTGAATGTATTAGCACTGATTTACATTTGGTGTAACCAGGTGTCGCTTACCGGAAGACAAAACACCTCAAAGAAATATAAACCAAAAAGATGCAACATTTATATAAATAAAATAAGGTAAATATAGTGTGAGAGGTAAGTTAAGAAACTTTAGCATTCAAATATCTGCCAACAATATTTTAGTACATTTTCCTCCTAAATAGACCAATCATTTTTAACATGCAGGTCAAGTGGCATCTAAATCCAGTGGGCCGCCATAAGCATCATTCATATGAAACATCATAAGGTAAGGGTCAAAAGAACCTTGCTACACTTAGAACACCATAGGCACTGATTGACCAGGGAAGCTCTGATGTTTTTTTCAGAGGTCAATGTTCTGATCGTTGTCTGAATGTTGAATTCTTGAGTCTACCAAAATGTGAGTCAACTCTCTGCTCCTGACATTATGTCTGGCTCGCTGAGTTCCTCCTGCCAGCCTGTGCACACTGAGTCTGTTGAATGGCTCATGAATGCAGAGCAGCGTGGAGGTGACAGTGTGGAGTTCATGTGGATGTTTGCTCGGTCTGTTACCCAAATAAAACTCAAAATGCTGATAAATGCATTCATAGATCACCTTATTCACTTTTTTACCACTCAAATTCATACACTGATCTTATCTAAAGCTTTCTCACACACATAAATGGTTAAGCACCTCTACCTCTGAGCCACAGATGCTCACAATGACCCAAGTAGTCCAGAATATTACTTCATATCTCCAGCAATAACAGACTCTGCATAACATAGTAGTAGTGTGTGAGTGTGAGTATGTGTGTATATGTGTGTATGTGTATATGTGTATATGTGTGTATGTGTATATGTGTATATGTGTATATGTGTATATGTGTATATGTGTATATGTGTATATGTGTATATGTGTATATGTGTGTGTGTGTGTGTGTGTGTGTGTGTGTGTGTGTGTGTGTGTGTGTGTGGTGTGTGTGTGTGTGTGTGTGTGGTGTGTGTGTGTGTGTGTGTGTGTGTGTGTGTGTGGGGCAACAAACTGGAATGCAAGCTGACAACCTGGGTGTTTCTCAATGTCGAGGACGCTTGCTTGGTAGCACATGTACCTCCGAGTCACTTGCTTCAGAAGCGAGGCAAGAATCCTTCCTAGCCTCGGAAAACGAAGAATTGTGGAACAGGCTAACAGGTGTGCGTCATATGCGAGGCCCCGCCTTAAATGGGGCGTGATTTCCGCCAAAGATTTGGAAATTGGTCCGTGCGCAAAGCATTGTGGGGATTTTAAGACCGCGGAGTCTGCACATGTGCAGCCTTGAAATTTCCCGCAACGAAGTACGCCGGCCTCGGTAGAATTCCAAGGATCCTGGACATTGGAACAGTCCTTCGGCGGGACTCGATGTAGTATCCTTGAAATAGTGGCTCTGGAGCAGCCTTCCTCGACATTGAGAAACACCCCCTGTCTGTGCAAGTCTTACACTCACAGATTGTGATTTGATTGGGGTCTTACAATCACAACAATAAGAGCAGACACACTTCGACCATGACATTAAGTAGCATGGGAACACTGGAGTTGTTGTCTTTGTTGTTAACAACCACCATTGCAGCTGAAAATGTATCCGTCGTGACTCAGTCAGAAATCATGTTCCCAGACGAGCTGATGTATTGAAGTTTTGTAGCCAAGGGTTACGAGTTACGAAGGTTAGAAAATAACGAAGAGGCTTGTTTTTCCAAACCAAGAAGGCAAACTCATATTGTGCCACATTAGGACTGCATGCACAACACTTCAGCATCAACATGTTTGCTTTCATCATCAATTATATCCATAACACCATAGTATATGAAGCGCAACATTGTTCTTAATGTTGCTTACAAAGTGGACAAGATTGATTCATTAAGTTTTATAATTTACAAAATATAGGGTAAAACTATTCTTCTTCTTCTTATTGCATAAAATGTATATTTTAGGCACACAGCTACACTCGTTACATTTTAAAAATGAAAGCCCCTAGGCATATACAGTGCATCAGTGGTAACTTTAAGTTGCTAACTGCATGAGTTTACACTAGCTAATGTTAAGCCTTTGAAACTGAAGCCATTTTGGGAGAAAACTAAAAATCATAATTTATCATAAACGTGCGACGATAAGTCAACTAATCGCCAGAACTGATTGGTGGAATAGAAAAATCTTTAGCCGAGGGCAGCTCCTCAACGGAAAAAAGGTATTTTTGGGCCCAATTACATCACTTCACTTCATTGGGGCATTGTAAGACAAATAAATGAATTTGATAATATTACAGATTTTCGGAGTATGAACAATGTTGGAAATATTGAGGAAAAAGTATACAACTCAACAAAATATATAAATAATATGGTAATATAAAGTGAGATGTTAAGTTACCTTGTGCAGGTTCCCTTTGGAGTCTCCCAGGAAGGCGATGGTATGTCCCGCCCTCACGCTGACAGCCACAGCAGTGAGACGGGCGGACGGACTGTCCAATATGGTCTCTGCCTCCACGGCCGTCCTGCTGGCCATCGGGCTGGGGGTGTGGTCCGAGCCGCAGGGGTACGCTTCCAGAGTGTTCTGATAGAGGAACACAGGACAGGAAGGTCAAATTCTAACTCAAGTTAAATAACAAAAGAATATATAAAATGCATCATATAGCATATGAAATGTAAACAAACTATGACTTGATTGTGGGGAGAAGCCCCTTTCAAGTCATTTGTTTTCAAATGTTCAGCATGATGAAGTCAGTTGCCAAAAATAAAACAGCAGTGTTTTCACTGTGGTTATTAAACCCCTGCCGAATGTATTGTGGCGGGGTTGGGGTTTGACTTGTACTTCCTGCTTTAAAGCTTACAGACAATTACTTTTTGCTTCCACAGGCAGGAGGGAGTCTTTACTCTGGCTGCAGGTGTGTTGTTTTTTGTTCCGGGCAAGTAGAGGCAATGAACTTGAGAGCTGAGCCTGTTGAAGGCTGCTTGTTTTGATGGATTGCATGAAGATGGCCGGTGTGTTGCTATGAATGGATCTTAGGTAACAGAGACTATTGATATGCAGCAGGAAACTGTTCAACATCAAACTGCTGTAATAACAAAGTGTCCACATGTTAGTGCGTATTGATAACGTTTATCCAGACGTTTAGTCTATATTATGAGAACCGAACCATTAGGAGAGAACACACAAGGGTACCTGCATGCTAAGAATAGCCTAAATTACATTTTGACTTCTAAAATAGTTATTTTGGTGTTGATAAGTGTTTGATCCGTCGCCTGCAGCTGGTCCAAAATGCGGCTGCACGCCTTCTTACTGGGAAGAGACGTTATGACCACATCACACCCGTTTTGGCAGACCTTCATTGGCTTCCTGTCCGTTACAGGATCCAGTTCAAGTACTTACTTGTTGTTTTTAAGTCATTGCATGGACTGGCACCACATTACCTGTCTGAGTTGTTGCACCGCCATGCTCCAGCTAGAGCATTGCGATCAGCTCAGCAGAATATGTTGGTGGTTCCTCGGTGCAGGAAAAAAACCCGAGGTGACAGGGCTTTCAGTGTTACAGCCTCCCAGTACATATCCGGACTGCTGAGTCTATTGAACTTTTTAAATCTCAGCTAAAAACTCACCTCTTTGCACTGGCTTTTAATACGATTTGAACATTACATTTTTACATTTGTATGTGTTTTTTTTAATATATTTTTCTAGTTATTGTGCTTTTTATCATGTTTTTAATTATTGTTTTATTATTGTACTCCCATTGTGTTATTTAATATGTATTGCCTGTACAGCACTTTGGTCAACTGAAGGTTGTTTTAAATGTGCTATATAAATAAATAAAGATTGAGATTGAGATGAAGTCCGGTCTGGGAACAGGGCCGCTTAGCGTGCCACTGCCGGGCTGATGAGAGGCTGTGATTACACTGTACTGAGTGACACACGCAGGCTGCAACCATATGGACATCCAGCACATACACTGAGGGCAGTAATAACCGGGAGGGAGTCAGATAACAAAACAAGGTTCCTCGAGTTGCATTTAGGCCACTAATATTTCTTTTGAGTCCTGAATCCTGACCACCAATAACAAAGCATGTTCCACACGGCTCAGCGTTTGCGTGAGAGTCTGTCCTCGGTGCAGATGGGCTGTCCTGGCAAACCCTGAACAGGGATGAAGCTGCTTTGCCGTTTGTGTGCAAGGATCCAATTGAGCTTTCAAATCTTAATGACACTGTACATCTCTCTGCAGATCCAAGTATTTCATAACAGTCTCCCTCTTTCTTTTGATTCCCTTTTTTACTTTCAAAAGCATATCATTCCTGTCCACTTCCTAGCTCCCATTTTCATATTCTTTCCCTTTTGCTTCTGATTTGCAGCTCTGCTGTTCATCTGTATCCCTTAATTAATGTGTTTGTCTCTTTCTCCTTCAGAGCCTTGTCTCTTCCCGCTGTGTCTTTATCCGTCCTTGTCAGGCCTTGTTAAACATTACCCTCAACCCCACCCCACTAAGTATGGCTAATGCCGCAGATCGATGGCTCCCTGTCCAGCAATCCTATTAAATGACACTACCTTCTCCCCTACAGCCAATCAGTGTGCAGCTGCACAGGTTGAGGGGTCAGTGCTGCTATGTGTCCTAAACACAGGAGGATGTGCTAACCCAATGTGCATTCAAATGCAGTTTACATGCACAATTCACATGTACATGAACACAGCATATAAAAACAGGATTCCCAGAGTTCCTCTAATCACAGGGTCAATCTAATTAGGTCCCTCCTCCACAGCATTACAACTGGCTGTTACAAAAACGTCAGATAAAAGTCATCCTCTCTGATACAAATGACACTTTGCTGGAATTGGACAGATGAGGCACAAGATTATTTTTTTGGTATAGTAATCAAAGCGGGAAAAACACTTACTTTATAAAAAGTAATAATAATGTTTATCTTCAAAACATAAATATCTCAAAACCCTAAATGTGTTCACTGTTTAAATGCTGCCAGGGAAGACAACTTATTTGTCTTTATTTTTATTTTATTACTAATGTGTGCTTTTTCTTAACATGTAAGCTTCTTTATTATTATCTACCTTTTGTACCTGCTGTGTCACTTTTGATATATTGCTGTAAATGTCCCTGCTGCTGGACTAATAAATGAGCTCTCATTTCTGATTTCTAACAACTGAATGACAGGCAACACAGAAACAAGCATTCCATCCAGACTCACCTCTGGCAGGTTGGCACAGTTGGATTTGACTTCATACTCGATGTAGGCTGCCTCCAGTCCCAATTCTTTACCCATCTGTGTGTAGCACAAGTCTCTGGTGGAGTTAATCCTGAGGTCCACATCTTCCAGGTTAAACATGCAGAGGGCAGAGTCCTCACTTGGTCGACTAGATGAAGCCGAACGAGTGGAGAAGACGCCAAGAAGAACTTCTGATCCCTGACTGTCTGTACCGTCCTGGGTGATCCCGAGCTGGACAGCTTGCAAGAGGTTGTAAACTTTCCCTGCCCTGGAACGGCATGTCAAGGGAACTTCCACGTATGAATAATAGGCCTGGTCGTCCAAACAGACACGGGACACGTAGGTGCGGTACTCGCGTGACTGTGACTTTAGGTCCCGCCTGTAGAAGAGGAAGTACACGTGGTGACGGTGGGCAAAGGATGCTACAAAATGATGGTCGTATTCTGAGAGACGGCCAGCCACAGCCAACTTAGCGGTCTCCTCGTAAGAGAAGACTGAACCCTGGGCAAGGTTTCGTGTGGAAATGGGTGGGTGGCTGCTAGTGTAACCCCGCCCCACAAACAGTACTGGCTGCCTATCAGGATGAGAGCGAACCACCAGTCCCACAGTGCTGACGTTTGGGTGGTTAGCTGCTACGTATTGAGTATCTACTGGCCTCTCTGTAGAGAAAAGTACCAGATTCACAGAGTCCAGACTTCGTTTCTGGCAGATCCCTTGGTTGACGCTCCCACAGGTAATAAGTTCCATGGAGTACGGGTCCACCAGCAGGAGCTTGTTGTGGTTGCTGGTGAGCTTAGCCTGAGGGCAGTTGCTGTCGGTTACAGGAGGTAAGCAGTCCCTGCTGTCTATGACAGGTCCCGTGTCCTCCTGAAGTTCAGGTTGCAGGAATCGATCCAACTGGAACAGGTGATCCCGGGCCCCGATGTAGACCAGACCCACAATGGGGTCTGGATGCAGGGCCAAGTGCTCGAACAGAGTGTCATTCCTGATGAAGGTGGGATAAAGACTGGAGGGGGAAGAGTCTGATGCTTCAACAACACCTCTAGGTACTGAGGTGAAGGGCCAGCCGGCAGCTAGCAGCAGGAGAGTCAGCAGTGTTTGGACTGCTAACACCGAAAGACGACACCCCATCCCAGGAGGCATGGCAGCAGAGCTAAGGGACAGAAGAGAGGACAGGATGTCAAAGAGATGTCGCTGTTCACTACAAAAAGGGGTTTTCATGGATGGTTTCCATGTCATAGACCCCCAAACTGATGCTATGGATCCCAATATAATCAGACATTTTGTTGCAGAAACAGTTTCTTGTTGAATTATTATTCATTTCTGTTTCGATTATTTATATTGTGCCAGAGCCTCACTTCACGCCGCTCCACAACAGTATAGTGTTTTTTGACCTTCTTGTCCTTCATGCTGTGTTCCTATAACTAGTTAGCTAATGCTGGCCTCAAACCCCTCCCTGCTGGGGCCATTTTGTCAATGCCTCATTAGGCAATTAAAGAGTCATGAACTCTGAGGGACATGGTAGATAACATGCTGGACTCAACCAATCATAATCTGCCATTGTACGTGACCCGTTTAAGGTTCATTGGTAAGCAGGCAGGAAATACCAGACTAGTACGGTTTAATTGGCAGTATAAAAGACATCATTCCTCATTACAGCTATGCGTGGTTAAGGTCCCTGTGAGCTTAGAAGTCAACAACATACAGTCAAGCTAGGCAAGGCAATGGTGGGTGGATTACACCAGACGTTATCAGGTGAATAACATCTGGCATTTAGTAAAAAAAGAACAGAATCACTTGAGTTTGTATAGAGAAAGTCTGGTAGATAAAGCCTCTAAACTGTGAGATATAAAACCAAACGGATGGATCTACCTCACCTAACCCAACAATCCAGGTAACAAAAAGGTACCAGTGTGTATTCAGTCTCTATAATGCACTGAACAGTAAATGGGCGAAGCAAACTTATCCACTTTCACTGATGCGGCTTTCACACCAGCGCTTTTCCCTTTCTAGCTCCTAGCGAGAGCTTTTCTGGTTCAGCTCCGGTTTCCCTTTTCAGCTCCCGCTCTGTTCACACCGCCCAGAGCTGCCGCTGCTGCGTCATGACGTCACAGTTTACGTAGCTGATTTTCTCCCACAACAACAACGGGCCGGGGACTGCGTCGGGTCGATGATCGTGTTGCTTTTAATCATACGAAGCCAGATTAAATTAAATAACGACTTCTCCAACCTTATACTTTTCTCCAGAGTGCCGTGGTTCATTGTTTATTAATGTGTTTCAGCGGCATTTACCGACCGCTGCAGTGCTGGCTGCTCTTCCACGGGAGTTTATTCTCCCGTTAGCTCCGGGTTAGCTCACACGGCTCTAAAGTATTCACTGTCTGACTGTCACACAAGCAGCTGATACATATCCCCAGTTCCCCTTAAGTGAATGTGTGTCAGTCTGAATTGACGCTGTTTGGCATCACAACGCTGTTATGAAAGTTTCTCTGGTATAACATGGGTGATGTTAGCATAGCAACCGAAGCTAAACTGACTACTTGCTAAGCCGTTTTCTACAGGCACATTTTACCGGCGTATTTTTCATTATGATTCTACTTGTGATAGTCGGACATGACAACCTGTACAGCCCATGTATCTCCACAATGATCAATAACAGCGAACGGATGGTCAAAGTAAGGTTTCCTGCACGCCTCGACGTAAGAGACGTAAGCGACGCCGCGTCATAGCTCCGAAGCTCTTGCCTCTGGACCGACAATTTTTTGGAGCTGGAAGTGAACCGCATTCCGGAGCTATGACGCGTCGCCGCTGCGGTGTGAACAGGAAAAACCGGCGCTTTTCCAAAGCGGAAAAGCGCCGTTTTTTTTTCTTTCTGCAGATTCACAGTGTAAGAATAACTCATTAAACTATTGGAAGACAAGAAGACATTATTTTTTGTAACTATGCCTAAACCAATTGACATCCAACTAAAAAGACCTCTGGAGGATACCTCAAGCTAAATAATTAGGTCAATCTGGGACATTGGATCCTCACCATTGGTTTCCAGCGGTGTCTCACAGAGGCATGTCCCCTCTTGACCACCCAGCAACTTGGGTTAAACACATCCTTCTGAACACAACCTGCAAAAAAGGGGAAGGACAATATACATCAGTAAAAATGTTTTGGATACTCAGTGGCAATTTAAAAGAGACGGCATATGATTAAGGGTCACACAAGAAAATATTGTTGGTAGTTATTAACTGAAATTGCTAACTTTAGCTAACAGCACATTGACGACAGAACTCGATTAAAAAAGCATTTGCAAAGTGCCACTATTTGCTATGCAGCAATTAGCTTTGTTCATACATTCATGAAAACATAGATATCAACAACTATATTACATTTCCCAAGGGCAATACTTTAGGCAGCTATATCCTATGCTAAGACCCCAGGTGGGATATGAAGCAGCAAGTGCAGAGATGAAAAACCTCGGCCTTGAAGACATTACCACAAGCCTGAGTGTTTGCTACAAACACAGACCCCAATGGTCCAACACTTTGTATTTTCTTTTGCCTCTCTGCAGTCCACTAAGAGTCGTGGGAAGCTTGAAGCCATTGAAATTCCTGTCAGACCTGTGTGTGACTGACTACATCCGCTTTTGCGAGTAAAAGCCCCTCAGCAGAGGCCAAGTCGAGTAGTGTCAGTCCAAGAGGGCTTTCAGTGCCGCACACACTCTGTACCAGCATTCAATCTTCCCTCATTGCTAGGATACAGGGTACAAAACCCTCTGGAGTGTCTGCCAGATAAACAAGCTGCTGTGAGGTAAAAGAAGATGGCATGAGAACCTTCAAAAGTGCACTTGTTTGAGCACTTGAACCTCTTGGTTAGCTGTTTCTTCGTGAAATACTATAATATTAAACAGTGAGTTATGACACGTCATTCTTTTTTTCACTCCATATGCAGTAAATCCTCCTCTCCCCCTCCCTTTTATCTCCCTCTTTTTTCTATCCACCTCTCCTCCTCCCAACACCACCACTGGTACAGAAGCAGGATTATCTCCACACACACACACACACACACACACACACACACACACACACACACACACACACACACACACACACACACACACACACACACACACACACACACCACACACACACACACACACACACACACACACACACACACACACACACACACACACACACACACACACACACACACACACACACACACACACACACCACACACACACACACACACACACACACACACACACACACACATCACACACACACACACACACACACACCACACACACACACACACACACACACACCACACACACACACACACACACACACACACACACACACACACACACACACACACACACACACACACACAACCTCCTGTATTTTTGAATTTTTGTAAAGGCATGTTCACAATGTCAACAATGAAACGCAAGGACACACAAAACAATATACCAGAGCACATTAAGGCCTCCTTCACACGGGAACGTTTGCGTTTATGCACAGTATGCGTATTCAAAAAAAGTCTTCCGTACACATGCATTAGTTTCATTTAACGTGTCTGTTCAAACGAGACCGCTGGAAACGCTGTAGTACATATGCCGGGACTGTAAGTGGCGCTGTAACTTCCGCCAAAATACACCAAAAGCAGCGAAGAAGAGCAGCCCAGAGCAGCCCCGCAGCAATGTTGCCATAGCTACCCTTCTGTTTAAGCCCCGCGGTGTATTTAGCAACATGTAGTTCATGTAATTCTCCATGTCCACTTGTTGCTGATGGTTGTGGTAGAGGAGCTGTAGATTTTGCACTAATCTGTAACATCTGTAGCATGGTCAGTAGCAGTAGCACTAGCAGTAGCTACTGACAGGAGGAAGTGTGTGTGGCGATTGCTGGTATTCAGCGGGATATAGTCATTTCCTCAGCATATGGATAAATGCAACGGGGAAGTTAACTGAAAGAAACCGAATCTGTGGATATTGCATCGACCGACCAAGAAGCACGTCTCTGTGGAGAGGACGCGCTCAGAAAGAGAGATATTCTCTACAAACACCGGGTGAGATCGCTCCTCTGGGACACGCCGGTCCTGTGTTTCCTTTTTTTGTGTGGATTATAAACATTTCTCTTTTGCCGCCGACGGGCGCAGGAGCAATGAACAATAATGGCCTGGATTAGGCAGTAAAGACAAGTTTGGTGTATCGCAGAGCGGACTGTTTAATTTTGTTTGTGTTGTTTGGCTGGAAAATTGTCAATATAATGGATCAATGCATGAAATCTGACTCTGTTTATTTTGTTTAAGGAGTATATTGGGCGTTAACAATTCTGGTTTGCCTTTTATAATATTATTTCATTCAAGAACCCCTTGTGCGTTTAATTAACACAGCTATTTTTGATAGTTGCTACAGCAGTGAGCAGGAGAGGTGGGGAGAGGCGGGGCTATCGTTATTTTTTCAGGAAATATTCGTATAGAGGTGATTACACGGACTCGTTTGACCCCCCAGAACGTTTCGTTTGCAAATCTATCCACCTTGGGACCCGTTATCGTTTGTGGGGTCAGTTTCTATCGGCCTCGTGTAAATAATAGGGCTATACGCACGCGAAACTATGCAGATACAAGCAGTTTTCTCCTCGTGTAAACGGCGCCTAAGTATGATCATCGTTATCTATATCATTTCAGTGGGAATTAAGTATAAAACTCTCACTTCCTTGCAAATGTTTGTTTTTCCACTCAATGATACCCAATGACCGAACCTCAATTTATCAAATCCAAACCACAAGAAAGACTTGCTCCTCTGACCCTCCGGGTGGGGGAGGGAGTTCTCTGCAGAGTGTGAGTGCTCTCTGCAGAGATGTGCTTTACAGTCCTGTGCAGATGATCCTGAGAGAGCACCAACCCAGAGCCTCACGGAGCAGAGGCAGGAAGGACAGGCATGTGAACTTATAGAAGCATAAGAGAAACACAGAGCGCTTCTCCTGCTTCCTCCTCTCGGACAGTGTCAGATTTGAGCTAGACTTGTCTTTCCAATAACTCTCACAACTTGCATGCTGTCGCTCTGCTCATCTAAGAGTAACAGTCCAATCAAGTGCTCATCTATCTGAATTTGCCATTTGCCGAAACCTGCAAATCAAATAGCCACAAACTAGAGTTCACTGGAGAACCATAACTCTGGCCCGATCTTAGTTGGAAGAGGTTTCTCTTTCCCGCAGTGAATAATCCAATAAGGCTCAACTTCATTCAGATTTTGAGACACAGGAGAACAAGAGAATGGATTTCTGATTCAATTCTCTGATGGTAAAAAATCTCATTTCACCTCTGGTGACTTTAAAAGGCTAAAGGTATGGGTTTGATGTGATGAGAGAGCAGGAAATGTGGGATTGTAATTGCCTTTATCTAAATGTTCCTTTAGGTAATGGACTTCACCTTGTTCCAGCACTTTCTGCAGAAACAGTACGTTTGTATGATATAGTCGGTATTCCAACAAAACACCAGAGAGTTTGACAAATAGAACAAGATTGTGTGCATTCCTAAACTAAATATAGCCTTCCTGGATTTCAATTTGTAAGCACTACTAGAAGAAACAAGCCCCTACCAACACTGCACCATTATTTGAACACTTTAAAACACGCAGGGCTGGTTGTGGTTAATGCCATGGAAATGATTAAGTATGTACAGAAGTCTTGCCTCCATGTGTTTCTCTCCCACACCCTGCCTGAAACGCCTCCATTGGACACCTTTGTTAACTTCTGTGACATAGTGACATCACTAGGTTACACTCACCCTACTATTCAATATATATATTATTGAATAGTGTCAATGTGTTGGAGTGCTATTATAGCACTCCAACACATTACATGTGACAGGTAAAGGTGCGGGACATCTCTAAGCGGTTGACCAATCACAACAGAGCCGGCCAGCTAACCAATCAGAGCAGACTGGGCTCCGGTTTCAGACAGAGGGTGAAAAGAGGTGCTGCAGCACAGGCAGTATGAGAAATAAAGAGAAATAAATGATGCTTTTTGAACATTAAAGCGTTGAAGCAGATATCCATTCAGTCATCCAAATGACTTGAAGAAGAGAGGGCCTTCAGACTGATGACAGGTGAAAGGCTTCAACAGAGCTTTATGCCTAGCTAGTGCATTACTGAGAACACATGTAGTAGTGTAACCTGTAGTGGATCAACAGGACCAGCAGAGTCAAATCCTTCTTCCCCAAAATCTACCAAGCCCTACCCTCCACAAATGGACTGGAGCCTGAGCTGCGGCCAAAAGACTCCAAACACAAGGGAGCATTCCTGAGAGGCACATTCAATTGAGCCATCATCCGCTTCATTGAGTCCAGCCTTTCACTCATTCTCAATTCAACTATCCTATATTCTGGAGGAGACGGAGAAGGACAACAGCAGGCAGGGGGACAGAGCGTTTTGAAGGGGAAAACTGGCAGAGTGACATTGGTGGATAGAAACAGGGCTGCAGGAAGACAATGGTGAAAGGGGGAGACAGGGGTGTGAGGGAGAAGGGGGGATACAGCAAGGGAAATGGTCACAAACAAGTGCTCGCAAGCCTCAATGCTCACTGAGTACTGATGGAATGTGACTAATGATAATAAGCGAGGGAGAGAGAAAGAGAGAGAGGGAGGGGGGAGTTGGGGGCTGTAATTCCAGCAACTACCCATAATGCCCCATTCAACACCCTCATTCACAGTATGAGGGGGAGGGGAAATGAAGCAAGTTTCTAATTAGTGACATGATTGGGAGTATAAACACACCAAGGTGCACGATCACACACACGCCTGTAATGAGGAGTCACCTCCTCTGCACACCTAAAACAAATAAACAGCAGACTCCAGTCAACGCAGCCACACACACACACACACACACACACCACACCACACCCACACACACACACACACACACACACACACACACACACACACACACACACACACACACACACACACACACAACACACACACACACACACACACACACACACACACACACATCACACACACACCACCACCACACACCCACACACACAACACACACCACACACCCACACACACACAGCACACACACACACACACACACACACACACAACACCACACACCTAG